AAAGAAAAATATAAGGAATATTGTTCAAACATAGAGAAAAATATAAATGATAAACAAGTTATATCGTACAAACAAAAGGATAATATAAATTATAAACAGTGTTGTAACACAACACTTATGTTATTCGTATTTAATTTACCCATTAATTATAACCAGGGAAAAGGAACAATAGCATTTTTGCGATACCGTTCAAAAAGAATTGTTCCGTTCCAGCTCCGTTTCCTATAGAAATATTTAAATATATTTTTTAAATCTACACATTTTAATTAATCTTTATTTAATTATTAAACGAAACAATTATTACATCGAAGCAATAAACTATTTTGGTGTTAATATAAATTTGAGTGGCGAAAAATAATGTGCAACACTTACCTGGTTATGGATGATTTTTTATTATTACCAAAAATTAAATTGTTTATTTAAAATTTTATAATGAAAAAAATTAATTTTATAGGAAAAAAACAGTTAAATAAATTTTATAATGTTCATCTCTTTTTAATTTTTTTAATTTACTACTTGTTTGCTAGTTGTTATTACTTTGGTATTGTAATTACTAGTTAATAACCCGTCAAGAATGATGGGGTTGAGGTGTAATTAGTTTGTGTATATGGTACTAAACATACTTAATTAATATATTTTATAAAAATATTAAAATTTAGGCGAAAAAGAGGTAAATTTGTGAATCACACTTCATAAGATATTCTTAATTTCTGATTCATCTATCATCGAATAAGAGAGAAAAGTATGATGACCCGTCTTTCTTGAAGGGCAAAATGGAAAATATATAACTAAGATTACAGAGCTCCCGTTAGTCAGCATTGTTGAGTCTGTCAAAAATGATGGGGAATGAGAATTTTCTCCTTACTCTTATGATAGTAGTTACCTGTTATTTGAAAATAATATCCAATTTTTCTTATTTATAACCCCCTCCCGCCTTCAGGTCAGGTCCAATCCATTAAAACTAAGTTTAAATGCTATGTTTTGAGTCAAAATATATTTAAAGCTTTTACTTGATACCCATATCAATATTATGTTAAAATATTATTGATCATCTATGCCTATTATTTAATATTGAAAAAATTCCCAAGCAAGGTCCAAGGCCATAATAATTTTGAAAAAATTTCCCAAACCCCAACCAAAGATCATAATAATTTTGGTAGTTGAGAACTGGAATAAAATATTTTAAAAAAACATAATGAATTTAAAAAAACAATAACGAATTTAAAAATACAATTAAAATCAGATTTTATGGGCCTTGGTTTATTTGTTTTAGGTCAATGTCTGATCCATAGTTAATAATAAAAAAAATCCCAAGCGTCCAAGCTGAAAATAATTTGAAAAATTTCCCCAAGCGTAGCCCAATACAGCGTCTACATGACAGGATTTTCACTGGATGCAAACCCCCTTCAAAAACCTTTGCCTACCCACCTAAAAAATTCTCGTCCCATTTGGCGGCGGTCTCTCTTTATCATTATTTTCACCTATTTATTTATTGATACTCTTTTTTATAATTTTTAAACTTTTTTGAGTTTTTTTAAAGTAAATGGGTAAAAATATGTTTTGTAAACATGTTAAATTAGTATTTCAGTGAAAGTGTACTATAAAAAAGTGACAATTGTGATAATCGCTTTTTTTAAACTTTTTGAGTTTTTTCAAAGTAAATAGGTAAATATATATATGTTTTGTAAACATGTTAAATTAATATTTAAGTGAGTACTAATCTCTACTACCAACTATCGATATTCTGTGAATATAAAGAATTTATTTTTTGGATTATAAATTCAATTAAAACTTCCATTGTATGATTGTTTTCAATGTATAGATTTGGTCGACGAATTGTATTATAATAATACTATAATAAAAATATTAATTTTTACAGCAATAAATTTTGTCCTATTTCATCTCAAAATATAATAGATAACCCCCAAAAATTTATCCTACCCCCATTAAAGCAGCTTACCCCCTACCCCCTCAAAAAAATAGGATACAAACTGTTTCAACCCCTCCCGCTTATGTAGACGCTGGCCCATTATAATTTATAAAAATAATTTCCAAGCCCAGCCCGACCTATTATCATTTTAAAAATTTTCTTAAATCTGGCCAACCGATAATAATTTTGAAATTTTTTTCAGCTTCCAATAAAAAATATTATAAAAATATTTTCCAAGCCCAGCCCGCTCATTATAATTTTAAAAAATTTTCTCAAACTTGGCCAACCGATAATAATTTTTAAATTGTTTTCCCAACCCTGGAGCTTCCAATAAAAAAGATAAATATTGATATATTTAAATTACTTTATCGTAATAGTTTCATATATAAGAAAAATTGTATTACAAAATTAAATGTAGAAGGGGGGGGGGGGTGACTGGAAAGAACGTTTGTCTAAAGAACCTTAAGTTAGTGGTTTGAATCTCGTTGATATATAAAAAAAAAATTAAACTGATTTTCTTTTTAAAAAAAAAATAATTTAACATTAGAGGTATATAATCTCCTTCGATTTATTTAACAATAAGATGATAGGAAAGTTGATACAAAAAATAAAAATTAAGATTATACGAAAACGTCCATTTCTTGATTACGACGATTATATATATATTAGATAATTTAAAAAAATATAAAAGAAAATAAAATGAACTATGGATTAAAAAATGTTTTTTTAATTATAGAAATTAATGAATATTTTAGGGACGTTCTGAGGAGATTATGGAATACACGTACCGGTTCCGTTCAATAAATTTACTCAAAGTTCCATGTCCCTAATTTCAACGAATTATTCATAAATATTCATCATATAACTAAAAAAATATGTATTAAAATTAATGACCATACCAATCAAATATAATTGATCTTGAGGACTATGTTACGTTATGACATTTTTCCAAAATATACCTTTTATGAGTCTATCACCCCTCATTCAAGCGCAAATTTGCAGAGAAATTAGAATACAGTATATTTTTATACTTTGCTGTAAATTTGTCATAACTGTGAATTCAGGATGCGCCGCATATGTGCCCTACCTAAGAATGAGGGGTTACTTATTTACAGTTAGCATGAATTCACAATGAAGTATACAAAATATACTATTTTGCCACAAATTTTTTAGCAGCGAATTTGTGCTAACTGGGGACAGGCAGGAGTATCTAATAACACAATCGCCAAATTAAGAAAAGCAAAGTGGTTATCATGCCCAAAAAATTCTGGGATTTAAAAATATTATTAAGCCTTATTCCATAATTTTACCCTTATATCACTTTAAAAAATTAATATTTTAATTTGTGTTTAGAATACTGTGAATCTCAAAAAAGGAAATCCTTAAAAGGTAATTTTAATATATTCTCGTACTTATTAACAATATCACAATGGAAATATATGCCACTATCCTCCTGCCAAAAAATTGATGAGATTGAAACTAGAGGAACACAATAATAAAAAAACCAATAGGTACAGGAGTTATATATTTCATCATCTAATCTCAATATTTTAAAAATCACTTAATAAAATGAGAATATATTGTGTTCTTATTAATGGAGGAAATAAAAATAATGATATAAATATTGATTACATAAGAAATTTTTTGAGATGATGAAGATCAGATCTCATAATATTAGTTCCTCTTTTAAAACAATTCTTAGTAAATACAATACATCTATCCAATCCAGTTTTCCAGATTAGTTCGCCAACAAATGATGTTTTGGGTGAAAAAAATTGATTCCAAATAAAAATTTTGGAACTTCTCTTAAGGGAAAATATAAAAATTGAGCTATCCAAATAAATAATTATTAGGATTATTAAATGAACACATTTTTATACCTAAATCTGCTCTACTGGTAGCAATGCTTTAACTTTCTTCATAGATGTCAGTTCATATTTGAAAATTCTCAGGTGAACCCAGGGAAGGTTTTTAACTTAGGCAAAGATTATCCATCACCATTCATAAATTCAATCACACAAGTTTCATTAAAAGCCTCCTTCCTAAGGATCTAACTTAACTTTTTTCAAAACCTTTTTTTTACATATTTTATTTTTTTTATATATAACTTGTACAAACATTTATATTGTCTTAATATCATTATTACTTGTTTTAATTGAAATTTGAGTAAAAATTTAATTTATAATTGTAAAAAATATATAAATAGGCTGAAATTTTTGATTCATTAGCAATTAATGAAAAAAAATTTAGACAACATTTTTAAAGAAGATAGTGTGCTCCTTTTTTAAAGTCACATCAACAGTATAAGAAATCTATGGCACTTTTTATCATCTCACTAAAATATATCTGCCTTGATATATAATTCCCTCAGTTTGTAAGGGTATTAGATAAAAAGAAGGTATTTATCAATAAATTTCCAAACCCTTATTTGTAAATACAAAAATATATTTGCAAAAAAAAAATTATAGCATATATATTAAAATTTGAGAATAAGTTAAAATTGATGTCAAAAACTTACTCATCTTTCAAAACCAATCTTCCTTAGACTAAACAAACATTTAATAAGAATGCTTATGTATGTAACATTAATAAACTGTAATTTTAAATTGAAACATCATATTGTTACAATTAACTTATACCTTTATTTTAAAACTAATATAATTATGACTAATAATTTAAATAATAAAATAGTCTAATTTATATAAAAAGATTAAAAGAATGTCAGATCAAAAAATTTAAAAATAAATATTTTTTTGAATATTTCTAATTGCTCTAAAAAAAATCCATCACCTTTATTGGTCCATAAATACTTATTATCTGATAATGTTAGCTTAGTTGACCATAAGAACAAATTCATCAACATTATAGATTTTAAAAGATCAACTATGTAAAAACTTAAGAAAATATAATTTTATTACTATTTGTAATTATACTAATTTGATTCATTTTTAATAAATCTATTGTCCCCCCTATTAAATGTAAGATTTATATTACAAAAGGGCATATTTTCTTTAGGAACAGTAGTAAACGAACTATTTATTATAACAAATATCAAATAGGATCATATTTCTTAAAATCTGTTGATTCAATATTTCAGATTAAATAATACACTTTATTGTTAATTATATAAATATGACATATCTTAAAAATCAATTATTTTAGTGGTATAAATCTTGAAGAATGTGTTGCACCAATACCTGGTCTGCCATGCTTAACAGGCTTATATGTAATGGCAAATTCACCTAGATAATGTCCAATCATTTCAGGCTTAACAAAATATGTAAAATTTAATTAAATCTTTATAAAAAATTTATGTTAAAAATGTAGATATAGTAATAAGTATGGTTGGGTAATGGTTAAATGTTAGCTAATTCAACTGAATCTTTAAGAGAAAATCCATTAAGAAGGCACTTTAATTTATATTAGTTTCTTCCAAATGTGAGATGCTATCTTTTTAAGAAAAACCCCAAGGCCAAACGGTAAAAAATACAGTAATCACCCAACTATAGTAATTTTATTATATACGTTATAAATAAGTAAAATATGAATAACAAACTTTAACTTCCACTTGGGTATAGGATTTTCCATTATGGACACCAATAATATTTCCTATCATTTCAGGCAAAATAAGCATATTACGATAATGAGTTTTGACAACCTCGGGCTTTTCCAGTGCTAGAGCTTCTTTTTTAGCTTTCCTAAGTTTCTTTAGAAAGTTCTCTGCTTTTTTAGGTAAACCTCGATTCAATTTCCTTCTGGCCCTGGCTGTTAACAGCGACTTTAACTGATCGCTAAGTCAAACATGTGGAAAATAAAGGTAATTTATATTCTTACAGTGTCATATCTAGTAGCTGATCCAAATCTACACCACGAAAGGTATATTTTTTAAAGGGCCTTTTCTTTATTTGTAAATCTTGTTCCTATATTATCAATGCAAAAAGATTTTGAAATATACATAAAAATATAGTTACCATTTTGAAAGGAAATGTGAGAATGATTCGATATGCTCACTGGAGGATGGTGTATTTTTATAGGATATATATATATATTATAATCTTTAATATTTGATTAATATAATAAATCAGCACTGAAATGTAAAAGAAATAAGTATTTATTTTAAACAAATAATATTAAGGCTCAATTTTTTAAGTTTTCGATTATTGTTTTTTTTCTCTTGCACAATATATTATATATATATATATATATATATATACTTATTTTCACCTTTCTTATTTTTGGTTACTAAACTAATTTCTTTGTTTTATCTTTTCAGAAAGATAATTTATTTTTTAAGAATTGATTTTACCAAAAAAATATTTTGGAAAATATTAATAATTAAATTTATAAGAAAGAAAATAATTATTTATATGGATCTTACTCTATTTATATCTATTACAAAGATAAATATCAATTGATTGACAATAAAATTAATTTTAAACCAAGTATTAAAATCATTTTTTCTATTTATGACAAATAATAATAATCTCAATTATATGAAAAAATAACATTTCTATTAATAAAATAACTAAAATAATATACTCATGGTAATCGAAAATAACATGTATTTATAAATTTGTCAAATATTTAAACAAAAATTGGTAACATGGATTTTGAATAAATATGAATGTATATAATATGAAAAATTTCACTTACTATCATATTAACACTGTTATATATATTTTACACTATAGTGAACAAATATTTTAAAAATCAAACATTACTCAATTTGATAGCTTATTGCATTCCTTAATAAATGTCTTGATGTAGATATTTTAAAATCTTGTTGTTTTATTAATCTTAGTTTATACCTTTTTATTAATGATCAAAATCACATGATATATTTTTATAATATATTACTTACTAACATTTAAACAAATGGTATTAATTTTTTACTATATTGGTTTAAATAATTTTAGAAAATATTTAATTCATTCATTTTATTTATTAAATAAATAATTTTAAACGACCTTGAAGAGGAAAATCATATACAAAGCATTGGAGATAATAATGTTAATAATAATAATGATATAATTGAGATGGAAATGATTTTAAAATCGGAGATATTAGCTAAAATAAAAAGGAACGAATTGATATTGAATTTAAAGCTCCAGAAAACGGAAAAGAAAGATATCGGATATTTTTTTAAACTATTTATTATAAATATACCTTTCAAAATTAAAAATATACAGGTTGTAAAAACGTGATGTAATGTAAAACAGGTTCTACCAGTTTATTAAGACATAAATGTGCCATAAAAATACCAGTAATTACTCTAACCAGACAATATATAATATGTTTAAAAGACAAATGCCATACCACTTATCACGTTGTGACCGGTTTTTACGAATATTAGAATTATGATCCCTCAAATGTATGAATAATAGAATAAATTTTATTAAAAAACAAGAAAAAAAAATTTATAATTAAAAACCAAAAACAAATAGTAAAAATTTTACAATATTTCGCTTCCCTTTTATAGGGAAGCGCATAAATACAATTTCATAATGATTCTACAAAATTTAATTTCTATATCTAAAAATAAAATAAAGCAAAATATTAAAATACGGTTTCATAATGAACCTGCACAATTTATTTATTAATATACACGTAATAAATATTTTCAAAATTTATCAAATATGTCCATCATTCATGACACCACTCAAAAGCAGTTTTTCAGAAAAGTCAGTTATATTTTATTTGTAAAGATCCTAGCTATAAATGCAACAGAAAGGGAAGGATTTTATAAGCTAGGTAAAGTTAATAAATGTTGGTGTTACACTTTGACCAAAATATAAAAGATATAGGTGTGAGCCGAGAAACTCTAATTAATAATATAGCTCAAAATATACGATGGAATTAAAATTAAGATTAAAAAATGATCAATAATAATGAATTGTCCATAACCACCGATTTTTAGACGGATAACTATGAAAAAGTTTTTAACTATTAAAGAACTTATTATCAATAAAGATTTTGAATTAAAAACATTTTTTTTGGCCACAAGGGTAATGGATAAAAAAAAACAGGGTTAATATTAAAAGAAAAGTGTAGTCAATTCAATTTTAAAAGAATTACATGTAAGTAGAAAATTATTTAAATAAATGTATAGTTGTGACAGATAACGGAGCAAATCTTATAAGTGGATTCAAAGATGACGAAAGGCTACCATCCATATGCCATATAGTAAATAATATTATGCAATTATCTACCTGAAATAGCTTTAAATATAAATGATGTAAAAAAAATATATTACAATTTTTCAAATCTACAGCTAATAGCAAATTAGTATACTATTAAACAGTAATAACTTGATGGAACTCTTTATATATCATTATACAGAGTTTCTTAAAATCATATTATGAAATACAGGTATACTTGTTTAGCAAGCAAGAATTAATTAGATTAACAATTGATACCAGCATCATACAACAATTAGAAATTATCACTATTTAAAAAATTCTCGGAAAATCTGAGCGCAGTTTCTTGACCCACAATAAATGAAGTTTATCTATGGAAATAAAAATTTGTAAAATATTGTCAACCTTCTGAAAGTGATACAATAATAATCAAAACCTTAAAAAAACAAGACAGGATTTCTTTTAAAAGAAAGATTTATTATTCAGCCACTACATAAAGTAGGCTTAATTTTATATTCGAATTTCAAAAGCTTCAAGTTTTGAAGAAAAATATGATATTTATAAAACAAACATAATAAAATGATAAATGACATAAAATATGATATGAATAAGTCAATGTCAAGGTAAACTATTATTTATAACTGTCATAATTTATATTAAACTCCTGAGAAACTATATCAAATGAAACCTTATGAGGATTTCTAGATGATTATGATGAAACATCACTATCTACCGATGAAAGCTGGTGAACTTAAATTTATTGCTTATAAGACAAATAACAATAATAGTACCCAAAAATTAAAAATACGTATTTTTAATTTTTGGGAGGTAACGCCAGGCCTTAAAGGAGGGGGATGCCAGAAAAATAATTTAATAACGAGTAAGATTTTTGTCAGCCCCTGAAAGTTCAGCATCTAGTGAAAGATTATTTTCTAGAGCCAATGGCTTGTGAAAGGAAAGGCGTACTCAATTGAAATAAAAAACCATGGACAAGGACATTTTTCTTTTTTAAAATAAAAATTTCGATTTATAAACAATATACTTAGAGGACTTTAAGCATTTATGAAATACTATTAGCTGGTAAAACTTTAAATAAAGCTTTACTTTGGATTATAGCATCACTGAGGGGGGTGCATGAAGAAACTCCTCAAAATTTTGATTTATAATGCCAAATCTAATTTTCATATTTTTGAAAAAAATAAATATATACCCTTTACTCTCAAAAATATAACTTATCAATCCAAAATAATCCTTTCTAATAATATTAAATAAATATAATAAACATTACTACAATTCACCTTTATTCTTTTTTATATAACATATAAACATATTAAATCTTCCCCAATCAATCCCGTCTTCAACACTCCAAATCCAAACAAAGAATGTTCTTTTCTAACAACAACCTATGTGATGATTTCGTTTTCCTCCCATCCCTCAGGAAAACTTAATTCCCCTGTCAGAAAATAACTGACTGATGTATTATACTAAATTTATTTCTTATTTTTTTCAACAGCTACAATACGCCCACCCTTCACAAGCCCAGCGTCCCTATCTCTGTGGTGGTGTTGTATCGAATCGCTCCTTTGAATTGTATCGGGACGCCTTGAAGACGTTCAGGGAATTTATCGAATCGTCTTCTCTTATGATGATTTATAATATAATATCTCTTATACATTTCTATATATAATCGCGAAAACACATATTATCAATAATGACATATACATTGGGGTATCCGCATTTATAATCCATGGAACATTAATATATACAATGTAATATCAGCAAAGCAAAACATAATAATTCATTCATTTTAAGACATTTGGGTAATAGGAGCTTATACATTATTTGGGTATGATTAATGGTAATTAGGAAATAGTGATTTTACATATAATACTGAATGTGAACACATGGTCTATGTGTGAAATGCAATTTCAACACATGTAATTGTCCTTCTGTCATGTAAACAAAATCAAAGCTACATTTTTATAAATATCTCCTAAAATAGATATAAAAATCCATTTTTAGGTATTAAAAATAATTGTGAAAATTTGCCGCACAAAGATTTTAAATAAAATTACAAGACATATGTATAGAAATAAATTTAATATTTTATAGGTAGGAAAAATATATAATATGTAGAAAATACAATATTTTCCATCTAGGAATTACTCAGTATCCTAAGAAAAATATACCATCTACCTAACTCTGCTATCACAATTAGCACAAATTCACAAAAATGTAGAATGCAAAGTAACAAAAATTGAGAATGTAATGGGCTATGGTATATATGTAAAGAATTTTTAATATACCTTCACAGCATAAAATAATTTGAGTCTTTTTTTTAAAAAAAAATGTTCATAAAATAAATAGTAAATAGTGATGTGCTATAAAATTATTACAAAATTAAAAAAAATGTAATATGCAGCATAAATTTACAAAAAAAAATTTAGACAAAAAAAAACTTTCTCCAGTATGCAAACTAAACAATATTCCCACCTCAAGGTATACCCATCAACATGGGCTGACCTTATCTGTAAAAATATTTTCCCTTCACATCATTGCATACCATAAAAATAATATAATAATTGCAAATGAAACCTTTTATAAAATTTTATAATTTAAAAAAAATATATATATTAAATATAGAGATTTCATAATTTAAAAAAAAATATTACACATCATCTAATATATCATATAAATCTCTACCCAATTTATATATATATATCAAATGCAGACACTAAATCAAAATGACTATCCACATCTAACATTATAGATATTATTCTAACTTCATCATACTTCAATTCCTTTAAATTATCATTCATAATTAAATATAAATATATCATATGTGTAATTCACATTACACCCTATTTCATAAAAATGGTTAATTACTTTAAAATAAACAACATTAACTCACCCTCAATAGATCCCTTAATAACATATCAACCTTAATTGAAACTGAATTACATATACAACATATTAACATTAATTAATTATAAATTATCCCACACATGTCCATCCCTTTAAAAACCCAAAATGCATAATTATATAACACATACTTTATTACAAAAGTCCATTTCTATATATATTTTCATAAATTTCAAATATTTAAATATTTAGCAATCCTTTCTGTCCTGCTGATCTTGAGGAGGTCTTATCTTCCTATGACGGAATACCTATAACACAATTCAATAAGTCTTAAGGCGTACCAAATAATAAGACCATATCTACTGTCAAAATTGGATGTACTATATAGATCTAGACATATAATATACCAAATATTACTGTCTTAAATTCCTGGTCTTATTTTCATATTCCTGCCTAATACTCATTACATACTTTCTATCTTAAGCTTTGTAAGCTAAATATTTTAACAAACTTTTAGAATCACTTAAACTCACATCTTAATCTCACTTACTCCTGTATAGTTTTTAGTACTTGCGTTGTGGTTTCACAGTAAAATAAATAAATATATACCCTTTACTCTCAAAAATATAACTTATCAATCCAAAATAATCCTTTCTAATAATATTAAATAAATATAATAAACATTAGTACAATTCATCTTTATTCATGTACATATAACAAATAAACATATTAAATCTTCCCCAATCAATCCCGTCTTCAATATCTCCACTCCAAATCCAAACAAAGAATGTTCTTTTCTAACAACAACCCATGTGATAATTTCGTTTTCCTCCCATCCCCCAGGAAAACTTAATTCCCCTGTCAGAAAATAACTGACATTTGATGTATTATATTAAATTTATTTCTTCTTTCTTTCAACAGCTACAACACATATTGTTGGCTAAAGTATTTTTGAATTATGTTTGCTTAAAAGATGAATAGTTTGAAAATAATTTTGAACCCCTAAAATTGTAAAGACTAGTGAAGACCCTGCTTCAGATTCCAATTTAGATTTATGATTATATAAGGATCAAGCAAAAGAAATAACCTTTAGGATAGGTAGAAGTTTCTGATCTATCATTAGTCCATGCAATAAAGTTTTTATTAGCTAAAGTATTGAGTATCTTAATAAAAGGGCGTTCTATAGCAAATATATATTTATATAATAGTAATTACCATTCATTGATTAAAATTCAACCATATGAGACAAAATTATCGATATTCTTACTGACTTGATGAGAAATAGTAAATATTAGATATCTCATTATAAAATTGATAATTAGTGGTATAATATATTCTAGATTACATTGTTAATAATTCTGAAGAAATTAAGCCTTTATTGAATAATATCATGGACACTAATTCCCAACAAAATCTACATAATTATTCACAAGATAATATATTTATAGATGACCCAGAGTTCAATGAAATTATAAGGCAAGCTGAAGAAGCCATTGAAAATGAAGTTTTTCCAGAAAGAATTATACAGGGAAGTAGTGGGAGCTACTTTGTGAAAAATATTGATGGGGTAATATAAATAATAATCTAAGTTGGTTACCTGTATTAATATATGTTCTATATTTCTAATGAACTCCATTTTAAAATATTGAAAAACTGTGCATTAACAATTTTGAGGATTAATTTTAGTTGAAGATATTTAAATTCTTCAGATTTAAAGAATGATAATCAATTTTTTTAATCTAAAATTTTATTCATAAAGTTAGGTGCTAGCACTATATTCATGCCCAATGACTACTTTTTTAAGTCAAAAGACAAGCTTCTTATTCCTGAAGACTATTTTAAAATTAAAAAATTTTTTAAATGTGATTATTATTTGTATTTATTTCATTTTACCTTAAGTTTCCATTCATCAAATATTTTATTTACATAGTTCTACACTTATAGCATAAATAATTATTAAATCTTATGCATTTTTTACTATTAATGTTTATTTAAAAAGTAAAGAATGTCAAAATTTATTTTGTGTTTGCCTTTCCTCTAGTAATTGATTATTGACCTAAGAAAATAATGGTTTATTGATAGCTGAACTGGCTTGGGCTGACACATATTCTGGAAAACTAATGTAAATAATGAAATAAGCTTAAGTCTTTTTTAAAAATAAAAAAAATGAAATTGTGAATATTTATTCAATAATTTGTCCTAAATTTGTTAAATATAAAAAAAATAGTTAATACTAAAAATTGTTTTCAAACATATTACTTTTTTAAATTTCACTAAAAATTTCTACTCACCCCTAATCATGCTATAGTAATTTTTGAAAAACTTGTCATTTCCAATTACAAAACTTTCACCCACCTTTGATTGATAATATATTTTAATTACACTTTTATATTTAAAATTAATATTAGTTTTTTTTTCATAGTCATAAATATATTTTGAAAAAATATTATAAATAGTTTTTAAAATATTTATCATCTTGGAATAGAATTAGGGTAAGAATATTTAAAAGGAGTGATTTTATACAAATTTATAAAATTAATGAAATTTTTTTTATATAATAAAAATGCTCATAACATTCAAAAGTGAAGTAATAATATTTAATTTCTTTTTTAAATTAAAGAAAATAATAGGAGTGTTTAAGCCTAAATCTGAGGAACCTTATGGGCACCTTAATCCCAAGTGGACCAAATGGATGCACAAGCTATGTTGCCCATGCTGTTTTGGGCGGACCTGTCTAGCTCTAAATGAGGGCTACCTCTCTGAAGCCGCATCCAGTCTTATCGATGGGAAATTAAACCTATGTGTTGTACCCAAAACTAGGGTATGCAATAATAAAAAAATTGGCTTAATCTCTTTTTAATTTCATTAGCAATTCTTACTTTTTTCTTTTAATTCTTATAGTTAATTACGCCATTTTTAACTGGCAAACATAATGGCTAAATTTAATTTTTAGTTTAAAACTGATATCTTATAATTTTGTTGTTCCAAATGTAACTCATGAAAAAGCTTAATAAATTAACTTGCATCTCACGTTGAGTTGAAGATTTAAATAAATATATTTTTAGCCATTACCTAACTTATGCTTATTTTGCCATTTATTGATTTCTTTATTGATTGTCTTCCCAATTATTATACTATTTCAAGGTCCGCCACATTTTAGGTTTCCTGTATTTATTTCTTTATTTTGCTAATTCAATCTCGATTTCTTTTTTAAATTGAGTTTTTTTTTAAAAAATGCCAGTAATTCATTTTAGCCACAGGCTGCCAAAAATCTTAGCATGGCCATGGCTGGACTGGAAAGTTACTGAAACGTTTTGAAATATCATTACATAATTAAATATGCTACATTAATGGCTTATAAATTTTAGTTTTCTTTAACTTGAATCTAATTTAAATTATTAATTGTTTTGATGTAAAAATTAATATTTTTAAATGAATGGTATTTTAAACAGTCGAATTTTTATTAATTACATTGGGAAAAATGAACATCTTTTAAGAGAATACTATGCTTATTTAAGATGTAATTAATTATGGGATAAAAATTTGTTCATCAATTAAATAGAAAAATTTATTATTCTAAATTATATATGTCAAAATTCATCATTTTATGAGTTATTAATCAACATGATTTTTTTAAAAAATATTTTATCACTGTTTTTAATCGATGAATTCAGACAATCATATGTTTAATTGAATTCTAAAAAAAATTGATTTATTTATATCGATAATTTTTTTATAAAGAATTTGCTTTTAAATCTATTCATACATTTTTTTAGCCGATACAATTAAAAGGTATTCAATCTTTATATCAGCAATTAGTTTTTTTTCTTCGTGAATTATTAAAATTCATATTATTTTCTACTTCACGGATTTCAGAAAGGCGCCAGACAGAAAGGATAATGCAATTTTTATTATTATTACTAATTTATGAGAGTAAATATAGAATAAGCCGTGCGTTATTAACAAAATCAAGCCATGATTTATATATATGGAGCGTTGATAATATTGCTATGATAAATTTTGAAAAAGATATGTTGCAATGTTATGATATAAAATATGCGATACGTTTATTAAAATTATAGAGAAATTACCATTGTAAAGTTTTTATTAACAATTTTTTAGGAAGCAGAAGATTATTTTTTGTAAAATATTTATTATTAAGCAGAAGATATATTTTATGTTATCGCTATGAAGAATCAGCTTTCTTTAGCGTATAATAACGCAACGCCTGAACATAGCCTGTTTACTATAAATTCAGCTTAAGATTAATTATTAAAATTTAGGCCTGGAGTTTCGGTAAAAAATGTCAAATTTCTACCCATGTCACTCTGATTTAAATTAAATTGAATTCCCACCCTCACGCCCCTGGCTTATGTAGTAGGCTTGGTCTGGGATAATTCCTTAAACAATGTTTAAATCATTAACTTATATTCTTTTATCGATTCATTTTATTCCTTGCCTAAGCTAAAATAAGTCTACTATCTTTTTAGAATTTAATTTTTTTCCGGTGCCGAAAAAAACATTGGCTTATAATCATAGACTTGGTTTTAATTAAAATCTCAAATACGACTACTTTCTAGAGGTCTGCAATGGGTAGATTTTTAGCGCGCTTAAACAATGGGCGGTTAAAAAATATTTTTGAAACAATGGGCGGGTGAATTTAAAATATTTTTAGGGCCAAATGATCAGAACAGACTTCTATTTATTAGAAATCATTTTTTTTAAAATTTAATAATATTATAAAATAATTAAAAAGCTAAACCAACCAATTGTCACAACGACAGTCATTGTGCATCAAAACCTAAATATAAAAATAGAAAACAAATATATATATATAAAGGAAATTAATAATAATTAGGAATCACGAAATCATAAAATCAACTTTAAGTCTTTATTCAAAATTATAATAGTAAAAATCATAAAAAAAGAATAAAATAAAAGAAAATATAATTATAAAAATTAATAATTTAAAAAAAAATCAAAGATTCTTTGTATCGTAAAAATTTGCCTTTTTATACTCTTTTCAATCTTCTTATAACTAATCCTATTCAAATATAATCTTTTTATCACGCATTATAACAATAAATCCACAAGAATTCTTTATGCAAATTACATATAAAGTACAACAAAATCCAAAAGAAATCTTTATGCAAATTAAATCTAACATTTACAACACCTCCCTACTTAAATTAGACCCAACATTCTGCGAATGATCAATCTTCTTTCGATCTCGACTTATTCTTCTTAATTTTTGCTGTCTTCTAAGTTCTAACGAAGGCTTTGTCGCTTGAAATTTTTGAATTCTATCTGTCGCTTGTCACCCTGTGAAACGATCAGCTTTTTATCGCTGTAAGCCACTGACGAACTTGATACACGCCTGTTTTCCACTATCCACGATTGATAACGATTATCGATGACATCCAATTTCTTTTCCTCTCTTGTTTTTTGCTAGTCTGTCTTAATCTTTTTTACAATTTATCGTTATCGTAGCTTGTTTCCTATCCAGACTAAAGTCTCGGTAATAATTGGCTATTATTGGTCAGCGATTAACGATTGCAGCATAACGTCTTGACCCTACTTTCTATCAATTTGCTTGTTTTCCTCTTTCTCTTGTAATTGATTGGTCTAATTCTTGTAATCGTATCTATCTTTCAGACTTCCGGGTCTTCTACGACAGTTTGCCCTTGCTGAGATATCGGGTAATCACATCTAATCTACTTCTACCTAAAATAATCTATTTAAATAACTTCTGAAATATTTTATCACTTTCTTATATTTATTCTCAAATATAAACTACCTAATACAAATATACTAATAAAATATAATTATACCAACCTTATCCTAATGTCTACATTTATCTCCTCTAAACTAATTCTGCCTTTAATAAATGGCGTAAATTATACTAAATCTTAAATTTATAATACGTAGCAAAATATAATAAATTATATAAATATATCAAATTCTATCACCCCTCTCCCCTTAATGAAGCCTAGACCCATATTTTCATTGAAAAATAGCTATTGATCCTCATCTTCTTTTCAGCCATGTTACTAAATTTATATCTAAAAATCCTATTCTAAAATATATATCAAAACCTATCTTTTAAAAAAATTATCATTGTGTATTTATTTCCTCATGTACTCTTTGACACTCAAGTCTGACACTCAAGTCTTTAAAAAAAAAACTGCTGAAATATATAAATCTCTTTTCATACATACGTTGTTGAGAAATCAATGACATCTAATCATAAAAGTTTTCATACTTACGTTTATGAACAACCTCTTCTTAACTCATCACTATGGTTTTCACCCCACGTCTTTGAAGAACTTATGAAATCTAATCATTATAATTTTTCGCACAACCGTTGTTGAAAACTGATATGTATATTTCTAAAGCATGTTTTTCCTTTTGTATTATTAGAATAATATTGTATAATTCTTCTTAAATCTTATTCATGATTCAAAATAAAAATCCGATCTCAAATTGAGCTCGATTGTGGCATAAATTTTCTAATGACGAAAAGCCGATTCTCTCTATGAAGATTTGTTAGTCTACAACCTAATATACTAATTCACATTAATCCTTGAGGCTGTTTTATCTCTCACAGCCCTTAAAATAAAAGTTAAACGTAAATCTTCAATAAGAATTTAATCAACTATTTCCTAACAATAAAGTTATATTCTAATCTTATTCACCGAATTTTTTAATTATTATATCTCAGCAACCTATTAGTTAAATATTAACTTTCGCAATTTATGTTTCTATTTCTTTGTCAAAGTTATTTCTAGTGATCACTTGATAATAATTCTAAAATCTAAAATATCATAGTCTTTATTAGTTTCAAAATTCCAATGGTTTTTAGTTTACCAGTAACTTCTAAATATAAAATTCCTAATTATCACCTTTAAATAACTAAACACAATTATATCTTATCTACTATGAATGTTACCTTTGTCTTTAATTTTAGATTTTATATTCCTACATAAACATAATCTTAACAACATAATTTTTCCTTTTCATCTTTATTTACATATTTTTCTTACGTTCTTCTGGAATTTTTTTCTTGTATTAGAATACAGTTTGACACATCTCCTTGTTGTCCCACCGGTCACAATGCGTGATTTGCATTAGACTGAAAGTTGTAAAGGGTCGGTCTCCGCTCTCCAACTCCATTGTCACAACGACAAGTTTGTCATTGTGCATCAAAACCTAAATATAAAAATAGAAAACAAATATATATATAAAGGAAATTAATAATAATTAGGAATCACGAAATCATAAAATCAACTTTAAGTCTTTATTCAAAATTATAATAGTAAAAATCATAAAAAAAGAAAATAAAATAAAATATAATTAAAAAAATTAATAATTTTAAAAAAATCAAAAATTCTTTGTATCGTAAAAATTTGCCTTTTTATACTCTTTTCAATCTTCTTATAACTAATCCTATTCAAATATAATCTTTTTATCACGCGTTATAACAATAAATCCACAAGAATTCTTTATGCAAATTACATATAAAGTACAACAAAATCCAAAAGAAATCTTTATGCAAATTAAATCTAACATTTACAACACCAATAAAATAATTTTTAAACATAGGGTGGGCGCGCGGGTCAGACAAATATTTTAGATAAATAGGCCGACCGATGAATGAATTTTAAAATAACAAATCATGGGCGGACTAGCAGGTTAAATTTGTTTTAAAACCAAGTGGGGGTTGGCGTTTGGGTTAAAAACCCTTGTAGATCTCTACTACTCACCACCTCAAATATTGTGTTTACAATAGATATATAAATATGCATCAAGTCAATATTCTCCTTTTAATAAAGAGACTTTTATTTGGAATGGCTTCGACGAATAAACCGCATTCATCGCCGGTAAACCTAAATACTTCTTTGCACCCTATTTAGTTATCGAATAAGGGAAAGTTGATTCTAAAAATTTCAAATAAATCTCTTAAAATATTTTATTTTCATTTCCTATAAAAAAAATATAACAATTAAAATTTATATGATGTGAATAAAATTTTATTTGCACATTTCAAAAATTAAAAAAAAATTCTAACTAACCGTTATATTCTTTAATGGCAATCAAGTAGCGTGAATGTTTCTCTATATATATTTAAGCCTAATTTTCCTAAATAATGGGTCTATATATACCGAGGCATAGTAGGCGTTCTCGAAGGAGGGGGGGGGGGTCTTGATTTTACAGATATCCTCAAATTATATATTGGGGTCCGATAAGAATTTTGTTTTTTTCGGGTAGCCACAAAGTAATAAAGGTTAACCAGTACCTGTTTAAACTGCTCCACAATCTAGTTTTTTTTTTTTAAAATGGCCATCTACATTAAGATCGACTATTGAAACCGTGAAATACAGTTATCTATGAATGCCGCCCGTCACCTATTAAAAAAATTAGATTCTTTGGCAATCTGAACCTGGTATGGCTGACTTTCACTACTCCCATGATTTTTATGTTGCGCTTCAGTACATATATATTAAAAGTTTATAGTATTTTAATAAACTTATCATTTGTTTGAACGGCCGTAATAACGCAGCAATGTTAATGACTTCATAATCAATTACCTTAGGTTTGATATTATAAAATTGCTACGAAATAAAGATAGAGATAAGTAAATGAACAAGACGTATAAGGATTTAAAAAAAAACATAAATGAAATTTTGAAATCAAATAATACCGAATATTTTACCTCTTCCATAAACGTAGGAAGGAGGGAACAAGTTTTTATCTCTTCAAAAATATATAATAAAATATATATTATAAAAAAATATTATTAAAATGAAATATATTTGTTTTAAATCCTTTATCAAAATAAATAATATGGTATTTTTTTTATGAACGAAAGAAAACTAAAATAAATGTAAAAGATGTAAGTTAATCATATAATCCTTCTTTTTCTTATAGGTGGTCAAATTGGCTAGTAAAACATTCAACTATTCTGCCCTGGATCGGGCCAAAGCTCAAACCAAGAAAAATGTCATGGAAAAATTTCCAGATTTCGGCAAAAAATTTCACCGAATTGGATTGCCACTCAAAGTTTGTTATTTTATTATTTCATTTTATCTAATTTAATTTATAATATAAAAAAAAAATTTTTTTAAAAATTACCTTTGTTTTTGCAAGTGTTTTATTTATTTTTCTTTCTTTTTAATCAAAAAATAATATTCATGTCCTATTTACCTTCTTTTTATTTTGAGCGGCATAATAAAAATTAACAAATATTACAAAAAAAGAGTTCACCTGTTCTAATCAAAGAAGTATTCAAAAATCAATAAATTATCGATTTTCGCCAATTCATAAATTCATTAAAACAAGAAATAATTATAATTAAATGAGGATATTTAGGGGGGGGGGATATTACCTAAGCCTCGAGATTTCGTTTGTCCATCAGCCTTGCGTAGTATTTTTATGGATAAAATATTGTGTTAGTCCATTTTTAAAAATCAGTTCAAATCGAACCGTTTAACAAAATTTGCCGCTTTACAACACTAGCCGCAGGGGTGTACCTGGGATCTTGCTTCGAAGAGGGAAGGGGCCTTTAAAAAAATAGAGTTTGTAATTTGGATTAAAAAAACTGTTACGGTTTTGAATATAAGCGGGTTCTGATTCCTATTCTTAAATTTACCCACTCCAGGTTTCCTATTCCAAAATTCTGTTAAAAGCAAATCAATTTTTTTAAAAAAAAAAAAAAAGAAGAATATGAACCAATCACGTAAACATTTTAAACAAATTATATAAATTTGCACTTTTGTTAAAACAGATTTTTTGTAAATTTATTCCGTTTCTTAAATTTTAACTCGGTTCGAATTAATTTTAAAAAAAATTTAAACCATAAATAAACTTTGTTATAAATGAATCGCTCGACTTTTCTTTTTTTAAAAAAAATATAATATCATATTTTATTAACCCTTCAATACTCCGGTGGGGTGTAGGAAACCCCAGGCATGCTGGAAATGATATTGCATAAAAACGGTTAATTATCATGATCTGGATTCTTCAGTAGCTTCATCAAATATATCATAGAATCTATATTCCAAATTTCACATATTTTGGTTGAGTAGTTTTTAACATATAAGCATTTTGTGACTGCTTGGGGTTTGTGAGACCCCACCGGAGTAAATTCGTAATTTTTAAAAAAAATTTTTTTTTTAAAACTTTTATAATTATAAATATATACCACTATATTATAAAATTTATTAAAACGAAATTTGAATATAACATATTTTGAATGAGATATATGAAATTGAAAACACAAATATTTTTTCTGGTGGAGTTATTTTATGTTTATTTTCTCCAACAAACTCATTTTTTAAATTATTTCTATCATCTACTATGATTTTTGCAGATTCTGAAAGTAAATATAAAATATATAAATGTAATATTTTTTTTGAGGTGATTTGGATAATATAATTAATAGTGAGGATGAAGATTTTATGTATGATAGTGATCATGATACACAATCTGAATTAGATGAAGAAGAAGATATATTAGCTGAAACAGATAATAAGCATATGTATTATTTAGGTAAATATAAAATCATTTATCATAGTATATTTCTCTTTAAAATTAGCTAAAAATAAGGTGACTCAATGGAAAAAGTTGTAGGTTAAAATTATAATCAATATGAAAGTTCTACAAAAGAAGTTGATATAACTGAATTCAAAGCATTATTGGGAATTCTTTATTTAGCTGGAATTTTTAAATCTATCCATCAAAATATGTCTGATTTATGGAAATCTGATGGGTTTGGAATTGATATATTTAGAGTAACAATGCCTCTTAAAAGATTTAGATTTCTAATTCATGCAATGAGATTTGATGACATACTAACAAGAGAAGAGAGAAAGGTGGTAGACAAAGCAACACACATTAGAAATAAATATTTTTGTCAAATATGCAAAATAAATTTATGTTTAGAACACATTAATATTTTATGTAACAAATGTTTTGATTGTCAAATTTAACATATTTCAATGTTCAATATTTTTTTTATATTTGAATTTATCAGTGTAATTTTTTTTTAATATTGAAGAATAAAGATCCATGTTATGAATTATCAGGATTATATGATGGATAAGTTATTTTTTTAATTTTTAATTTCCAATTTAAAAAAAGTAAGCTTTTTTTTAGAAAATTTTGGCACAAATTATAATTATCCTCACCATCTTTAATCTAAACTTAAGAAATAAAAATAAATAAATATTTTATCAAGTTTAAGGTTAGTTCTATCTTATATTCAAATATTAAATCAAAATAATGAATATAACTGGACATATATACATTTGAAATTGGGGTCTATTAAACCCCACCGGAGTACTAACGTCATTTTTTTCACCGGAGTATTGAAGGGTTAAAAGAATATACGAAACTTTATATCCTCAAATATTTTTTCTTAGAATTTGAGTCAATTTTTTTGAGAAAAAAAAAATCAATTAAATTCCTTTCTTTAAAGTAAGAAATAAAAACTGACTGGATTGGTTCCCAATATGTTGGAAGGCGTTTGTTTTTTTTTTGAGCCAAGCTTATTATAATAAATAAAAAGATATTATTTGAAATTTAAATAATTAAATATTCTTATCTAATAAGGACAGGGCAAGAAGAGAGCGTAAGAAAGATAAAATAATGGAAGGAATTTTATTATTACCTTCCTTTTTTTAACAAAAAAGGTGGGCTCGTTTCAAATTTTCGTATCCGGTTATCGTAACGCTGATTATTGGTTGAGAAGGTTCGAATCTGAGCCCGGTTTGCTAGCACCTGTTTCCTCAGATTTTCAATCCGAATTTGAAAGACTCGTCATTCTTGATTACATCATAAGGAACACAGGTTTTTTTTTATTAAGCATTTCTCATTTTTGAATCTTGTTTTAGATCGCGGTAACGACAACTGGCTCATCAAATTAAGCGAAATCCAATCAGCGGACGCGAAATCAATCATTCCCATCGACTCACCGAAGAATGACGGCCCTGCAATCGACGGCGAAAAAATGTCAATTAATAGACAGAAGGCAAAACAGAAGAGAATAGCGATAGCTGCCATTGATAATGGCTTGGCCTTCCCTTTCAAACACCCCGACTCTTGGAGAGCTTGTAAATATTCTATGATAAATAAATGGATTTAAAATATTTATGAATTTTTAAATATCCATTGTTTATATTAAAGGAAAGAAATGGGATATTATTTCATATTTTAAAAAAGGATTATTATTTAACTTATTTTCTTAGACCCTTATCACTGGGCCTGGTTACCTCAAGCCAAAATTCCCTTCTCAGATTCGATCTCTGATAGATTGGTTCCTATGCTTTCAGATCTTAAATTCGTTCAGGATTTGTGCCAGGAACTTTTTCATCTGTTTAAAGTAATTTATCTGATTGCAAGTGAAGGAGGGGAGGGGGTGGGGTTCAGAATAGAATTATAATATATTGAATCTATAGAAATGTCAGCAAAAGAAGAAAAAAAATGAAGAAACTAATAGAAAAAATGGAAAAGAAATATTATGATTCAAAAAATTAAATTTTTTATATAAATCGTCCCTTTATAATTGAAGTAGCTCCTAAACGTAATTTTGATAAAAAAAAAGAAGTGTTAACATTCAGAAATAATTATTTCATAAATCATTTTAAAATATGCACTAAAATATTAATAAACTATATATGCAAAATTATATTTGTATTACAATAAACCCTAAAATTTATTTATAAAAAGTCATATATATATAAAATATCAACGTATGCAATGATACTATTGCTCTAATCGATTACTTTAATTAATTTCAAAAATAAATTAATAATAATAATTTAAGTTATTCAATGTTTCAGCTCTCTAAATATTTATAGCTAATACCAAAAAATATAAAAGTATAAGTTGGAGAAGAAATAATAATTAATTTTACAGTTTTTGTGTACTTTTGTTACCTAAATTATATATCAATTTTAGTTATTTTTTTCGAAAATTATACAATTATATTTTTCTACCAACATAATGAAATGCATTATTTTTTAATTAAGAAAGATGTATAGATTAATGGTGTTGCTAAATATCCCCATTTAGCCTAAACTGAGCCGACTCCCAAAAAGACTTTACCAAGTTTTTCCCAAAATATTATCATTCAGCCTCCCAGTACTTTTTTGAACCAAAAGATAGCTCAATCTTAAGGGAAGTAGATAAGGAATCAACTCGCACTTCAATTCTTAGCGTTTTATTTTTTCTGCATTTATTTATTGATTGAACGAGCCGTTTACACATTACTTCGGATTAGCCATCTCCTTTAAAAATTTTTGCGCAATCTGCCCATTCTGTTAAATTTTTGGCCAAGCGCGGCCTATTATAATTTTAAAAATTTTTTGGTTCGGGCTTTGCAGATTTCTACTCCAAATACATGGTTTTTATAATATAAAAATTTGAATTTCTTTCAATCTTATAAGATTGGTATACGTTTTTATTTTAAAATTCGATAAAACGCGAACAACAACGATATTTATAATGAATGCACCCCCCCCCCTCCCCATCATAGTTATGCACGAATCCGAGGCGAATTTTACAAAATATGCTGTATTTTTGTATTCTCCGTAGCGACATCGCGCTAACTATGAATAAAGGAACCCAGCACTCACATTTAGCACGAATACGCGTCGAAGTTTGTAAAATATGCTATCTTTTTGTATATTTTTATATACTTCGCCATAACTGTGAATGCTGAGCAAGTCATCTATAATATATATAAAAGCTGTCACAACGTAAATCAAATTTAGCTATTTTTAAAAAAATATTCGTCCAATAAAAATCACCATAGCTAATTCGGTCCAATGATAATATCATAATATATCAAAGATTCATTTAGTTAAGCTACCATTAGCATTAACACCTTATCATTATAAACATATATACTAGAATTCTTACAGGTGAAATATTCATTTTTCAAAAGTAAAATTTTTGCATTTTATACGATTAGATATCTTTGTTACAATCTTTAAAAAAATTGAAATTGGGCCAAGCAAAACTTGGGATAGGCAGTAACTAAATTCTCATTGGACCTGAAAATGTTGGTAGATGCATAGTAAAAGTGGCAGACCCATATCATTTATAAATGGATTCTTTGGGAGAGGTAAAATCCATTATGATCTGCTGTTTCCGATGTCATCCTGACTAGAGGTCTGCGATGGGCAGGTTTTGGTGCACCTGCCTGCTCATTTATTTAAAAATTTTGTTGCCTGTCTAATGTTTAAAAATTATTATATTGGTTGATTTGGCTCTTTATGTATTATTTTAATGTTTTTTACTTAAACTGTAAATTATTAAATAAAAAAAATAATATCTAATAATAAATAGAGGTCAGTTGCTCATTTTGCCTGAATATATATCAAATTCACCTTCCCATTGTTTTGAAATATTTTTAAACCCTCCCATTCACCAACCCAATATCTTTCAATCTATCCACAGAATAGGCGGGTTTAAGTTAGGCAAAACCATCATATAACAAGAATAAAATTTTTAGGTTTTATAGCAAATTTGTATAAAAATTCATTTAGAAATATTTTTTTATTGAGCACATAAATACAATTTGTACAGATTTTATGAAATTAATATAATGAAAATTCATATGTTTTGCATTTTATATTATTACTAGCTGATAGCCTACAAGAATGACAAAGAATTAGTATTTTCTCCTTAATTTGATGATGGATAAATCAGGAATAATCCTATATAAGGTGTGAATCAGAAATTTACCTTATTTTTATGAGTTAATTCCAAAATTTTTATTATTCTTTTAAAATATGTCAATGAAGTTAATATTTATACTTACTAGATGATAGCCTGTCAAGAATGACTGGGAATCAGAATTTTCTCCTTTATTCAATGATGGATGAATAATGAATTTTTTCTTTATTTGATAATGGATGAATCATAAATTTTTCTATCTTATGGATGTGATTTAGAAATTTATATTTATTTAGATGAGGGGTTATTCTAAAATTTCCCATTATTTTCTATTATGGTTATGAAGTACATGGTTACTAATTTTAATATATGTGCACAATAAAAAATCTTTTAAATAAAATTTTTATTCATTTGAAAATGTAAATAATTTAAAAAATATATTTTTGCTATTGCATAACTTATTTTCGATTTAACTTTGCCTCACAAAACTCATCTACCAAGAATATAATTTTTAAATTATAAATACAAATGAATAAAAATTTAGTAAAGTTTTTTTTATTGTGCACATAAATTAAAATTACTAAATATAAACACATTTTATCAAAAATAATGGAATATTTAGAATAACCCCTCATCTAAATAAATATTAATTTCTAGATTATAGGGCTATGCCGATCCACATATTTCTCGCCGATCCGATCCGATATTTATAATAATTTTTCACCATCCCCTATTGAACCAATTGTAATTAAGAAATCAATATTTTTTATGCAAAAAATCAAATTATGCATTTAATTTTTTTATTCCCACAATTAAGACTAATTAAAAAAAGATATATTTAATAATATATCCATTTTATGTTGGTATGAATTATAAAATTGTAATATTTAATATATAAAATTATAATATATTAGATTTTTTAAAATAAATATGAGAGTCTCTAGATTTTCTGGTAATAAGCTTCTATGTTATGGACTATCTATATCCCCTGCCGTACTGAAGGCAGACTCAGAGGATTCCGCAGATAACGCATTTTGCAAAATTATCTTTGTCTTTTGTAAAATATTTCCATAATTCAGATACCATATTTAAAAATTCTTTTATTTAAAGTATAAATAATAAAACAGGCGTTATTATTTAAAAAGATTTTAAAAAAATAAAACTTGGGTGTTCATTTCTATTTTTATAAAAAAAAATTTAAAATACTCTAAACTATTTTAAAAATTAATAAAATTTAAGGGGTATTTTACATTTGCATTATTAAAAAATTATTTAGAAAAAATTATTAATGTAAAATAAATATACATAAAATAACAAAAAAAAGAAAAGTAAAAAGGTCAGATCGATTTTTTACTGGTATAGGCCCGATCTTATATTTTTGGAAACCGCTAAATATCGGTGCCGATCCGATATTTAATATCGGCACAGCCCTACTAAATTATATCTCATTAGATAGGAAAATTTCTGATTTATCCATCATCAAATAAAGGTAAAATTTAATATTCATCCATCATTGAACAAAAAAGAAAATTCTGATTCCCCGTCATTCTTAACGGGCTATCAGCTAGTCATTAATAAAAATCAGAGAAAAGACTATTTTACAACAATAACTTCACCAAGAAAAAAAGCGTACTCCTAATTAGATCACGCTTAAATTATGTACTCACCAAAACGGGCTTTTGTTGATTACCTCCTCTCCGCCTTAGACTAAATATATTTAAAAAATTTACCAGGATTTAAACGCTGACATTTTTATGTTCGATTTATTTTACCCATTGAAAATTTTATCAATAAAATGTGTTGCCATTTTGAAAATTTACTCCTCGTATATTGATAATTAAATATTTATTATAGTCTATGAATAAATATACAAATCATTCCCAATTTAACGTAAAAATAATTATTATATGTTATGAAGACCGATAAAGGATTCGACGAAAAGCTGTACGAAAAACAAATGTCCGTTATGAGAGGACAGGTTATATATTTTCTATTTAAATTTTTCCCTACATTTATTGATTTCCAAATTTATTTATTTTTCGAAAATAGATTTTAAACCTGACGGATGCCCTAAAGAATCGAAAGACTCCCATACAACTGGTTCAAATGCCTACACAAATCGTAGAAAGGGCTACTTCTAAGGTATCCAGCGAAAAGATGGCCGCTCGACATCATCTCTTAACCAATCATAATTCCGCTCAAAATACCATTAAAGACTCTTTATCCAGAAAAAACTTTTACGAAAAATTGTACGATAGCACCGTCAATTGCAATTCTACGAACGCCGAATTGAATAATAATAACTTTTACACCCAAAGTTTCCACGAAAAAAGGCCGTTTTTCTCTTGGTGTTAAATACTAATTAAAGCGCGTGGATAAGGGGAAGGTAAAAGTTTAGAAAAATAGAACAAATATATGAATTAAGGGATAAATGAATTAAAATAACGGATTAATTATAAATGGAGAAATAAAAAATGTGCAATTTTTGTTTTAAAAGCCTAAACAAAGAATTAACTAAAAAAAGAAGATTAATGGGTTAAAGATGAAATTCGGTGATTTAAATGAATAAAAGAAATATTTTTTTGGAGGATATTAATTCAAATAAAATTAACAACGAATGGGAAAGAATAGAAGAGAAGGTATTTGAGACTGAAAATGTGAAGCGATTTTAGAAATAAGATGAGAATTAAATTAATATTTGATGTTTAATTATTCTAACCTAATCTATTTTAGGTCATAGGAACCATGCTTTTCCCCCTTGAAATGGCAAATGTCAGAAATGAACACTCTTCATTTTTTCTAATATCTTATTTTTATTCAATTCTTAATTTTTATTACTTTAATCCATGGTGTGTTTTACACCAAATATTTAATTCTAAACTCTAGAAAATAATATTGTCTCCATTTATTTTATTCATTTAATTTTTTCTTTCAATGTTATTTATTAAGTACTAAGTCTTTTCCTTGAAAAATATTAATATTGTGACTGCAAATTGTTTTGCTTATATATATTATTTAATAAAATATTATAAAAACCAGTCAAATCACATATTTATGATAAAATCAATTTTTTTTATATTATATATTTTATATATACATTTTAATAAGAAAATAACACCAACGAATGAATGTAACATTTTACTTTCAAAAATATTTACTCTACTAATTAGTATTATACAAAACTGAAATTTGCATCTTGGATTATTTTAATTAAAATATTATCTGAATTTTTTTTTACAAAGTTATAATGTTCTTATATTATATATCGATTATACCAAATATTTTTCCCCAATTAATTTTTAAAGTTAATTATTCTAATATTTTATAAAAAAATTGATTTAGCCAAACAAAAAAAAATAATAATTGCATGTAATATTTGCCCCATATATAATTATTGTATTATGTCATTGTTCATCTTATATACCATTTTTTAAACCATTGAAAACTCAAAAGAAAATTGTATTTATAACAGAATAAACAAATAACGTATCTTTTTTTAAAAAAATAAAATATAAATTTGTTAGGGTAAGTAGGACATCAATAACAAAACTAACAAATTTATAGCAATTCACAGGGAAATTTATATTTTGCATTTGTTCTTTTTTAATAAATCGAAATTATATAATAGTTTTAAATTAAAGGAAGGCCATTCTTTTTAGATCGAGCTCCTATAAAATTACAAAAATTAAGAATATCAATTAGAGTCCTTTATCGGACCTAATTTTTGCAACTGCGAACCGATCCAAACAAAATTATATCTGATTTAAACAAAAATCTAAAAAAAATTTGTCTACCAAATTCCGCTCGAAATATTTTAAGTTTGGTTAATGTTAAACAGTGCCAATTCAGTAAATTTACTAAATAACGACCAAATTTAAAAATTACAATATTGACCTATTCCTAGTAAATATATATATTAATAGATAGAATCATGAAATCGCTTCCAAAATACTATATATCATACCCAGTAGCACACAAGCACATAGCTAGTTTCAGAAAAAAAACTAATCCTTGCTGGATCTGAACCGATATGTGTGGTAAGTGATATTATACGCAAACCAACCAAAGCTATTCCAAACCTATAATTTTTTAATATTGTAAGTTATAACCAGGAGTAGTGATGTTATATGTATCAATTTAAACCTATTTATAAAAAAGGCTTACTCAATATTTATCATATTAAGCATGTTTCACGATTTATCTCATAGAAGGCACAAAGATTTAGAAATTTATTAGCAAAATTTAGAGGTTTAGGTAATATTTTTCTAGCTAAAATATTAAGTTAGCAGTTATAAAAAATGTGCTCAAATTGAGCTGTTTAATGCCACTAACTAGAGACGTGGAATGGAAAGTTCTAAACATTTGGGAATGAAACTTGGATGAATTATAGAATGTGAAAGGAATATGATCCAGGTGACATTCTCAGAACAGTTCTGGAGTGTTCTATAAAATAATATAAAATTTAATATTATTTTCCCCATAATTATATAATAATGGCTGATTAATAAATATTTTTTTTTTATTATATTGCTTTTCATAACAGGAGGCCAAATTGCCATTTATATTTCAGGCCAAAGGTCAGCACTAAAATATTTTTTTAAGAATATTCAAATTTCTTTCTCAAAAAAATGTTTAACCAAGTTTCTTCCATAATTTAACATTTTTGACATAGCAACCCTGTTCAGGGGTAAAAAAATTACATACATTAATTCCTGGTGTGATAATGAATAACTTATTAATAACAAGATAAACTGAAATATTTGATACTAAGTTATAAATTTTATTAAAAATAGAATTATAATTTAATATATCAAAAAAGGTAGTTTATATGGGAATTGGGATATATCATATATTTTTTTTATGAAAGGATATTTATAGAGTAAAATAGATTTATTATCAGTTAATCATTAAGTTGCAATTATAGGAGGACCTAAGTAGGGTTGTGGCTTACACCTATAATCATAAGGACATTCTGTTTCATTCAATATGTAAATTTCTGAGGTTTTATATCTGTCATCTTTAAAATGATTTTCATCATAATTTGCATATTGAGAAGTTTTATTATCAGATTTTATTGGTAATTTACATTGTATATTATAATAATGGCAGTCTCTTCCCAAATTTTCATTGTAAGGAGGAAATAATATGTCAAGAAAAGCCCCAGGAGAGTCAGAGGTTCTTATCTCATGTAAATTGTGATATAACGGGGAAAGAAGTAAGGCCTCATCTAAGTGAGATATGTTCAACACAGATTCTAATTTAGCTAAATGTTTAGTGAGAGGTAATTTTATATATAAGTTTTTATCGATATTAAAATGGGTATCAAGTGAAGGAGATGAAGTTAGATTTTGAAGAATCTCCGGCTTTATGTCCCTTTCAAGAATTGTCAAATTTTTAATAAGAATAGAACCTGATATAACTTTGATTAGTCCATGCATTCCTGGATGGTCATGAAGGGGTAGATAGGAAAAACTTGGCAATGAAAATACACTTACTGATATTTGTTCATCTTCATATATATTTATAAAATTGACGGCTTTACCTGAATTTGGCAATAAGCTATATTTATTTGTATGTAATTCTTTAAAATTAATATCGCTTGCATGTAATTTATTCATTTCTAATCTTAAATTATTTAAATGAGATTTACAATCAATAGAATGGTTTCTTAAATTTTGATATTTATCAATTTTATCATGAATTAAAGGACACATTTCCATGTGTGTAATGGAGGTTTCTCTAGCAATCTTAAGAAGCTGATTTATGAAAGGTAAAGCAAGGTTATTAGAGCATTTCATCTTATTATTTTATGGGTTAGATTTCTGAATTCATTCGAGTTTTTTTAAAATTTGGCATCTGTCAGCTCTCTAGAAGAAATGATGGTTTCAGAGTTGTACAAAAGATCTTTGAAGATTTTTGAGCGAGATCTAGCTCAAAAATTTGAGCAAGATCTTTGAAGATCTTTTTATTTTGAGCAAATGTACAACTCTGGATGGTTTAACTAAACTGAAAATGGAATGGACAATGACAATTGGAATGGACGAGTAAAAATTAAATTATTCGAATTTATAGTCAACAATTATATTTAAAATTAAAATGGTTTTATTAAAGTAAATTAAGAATTAATTATATTAATTGGTTTTTGGTGATTATATTTATTTTATAAAAACTATATAATAATGAATATCTCTATAATTATCAAAATATATATATATGATATAATTTAAATGATAAATGATAAGGATTATAAATAATATAATGGATGCTTTACTCACTAATTTGATTCAAATTGAATATATTAAAAATTTAAGTATGTGAAAGAACGAAGTAAAATGTATAAATACTATCTTACCTAATAATAATAAATATAATTTTAATCACACTTTTTTAAAAATGTTACTCGCTGTAATTTGAAGTGAGTGATTAATCTAAACCTGTTAAACTTTGCCTAATTTTTCGTTTACTATAAGTTTTTATTTAATTTATTTTAAATTGATATTGTCTTTATATTAACCAATAGGTATTTAACTTAAATTGTATTTATGTGATGGCTACAGTTTTAATGATGATAGAGTAGTTTTATATAAATAATTTGAATCTTGATAAAAGAGCATTAAAAATTTAGTTCAATAATAGGGGTTGAGCAAATTTTCAAAAATTTGTATTCGGATATAGATATTTTTTAAAATTTTGTATTTGATATGATAAATGAGGGGTTATCTTAAATATGTGGTTTGGTCAATATACGAATGAGAATAATTTAATCTATAGTCTAGTTGTTGACAGTATGTATTAATATTATAAGAACTTGGTAAGCGGTAGTATTGATTGAGAATATATATTTTATTGTTAACTATTTATATAATCAGAATTCTTTTATATATATTAAAAATTAAAGTTTTTTTATGACAAAGATTTTATTTGTTTGAATATCATTTTTAATCAAAACAAGTATCGTCAATAAAATAAAATTCAAAGTAATCTTTTCTATAATCTTCAAAAATTTATTTATATATTTAGTCAAATCTATTAATCGGTAATATGTTAAATTGACGCCTCAAAATAAAAACATTTAAATGGACATGCAAAATCAAAATATAATATGACATTAACGCCTTTATTAACATTAATCTTTAAATTGAAATAAAACATTCCAGTTGTTTTACTAAAACTGATTTGATAAATTCTACAGTATTAGGTCTATTACTACCATTTCATAACTTAGTACATTTGGCCAGGGCGGGATAATGAATTGAAATGGTAGGAGAATCCTTAATAGAAATGATAATGAATATGATTATAAATTATAATGTGATTTATAATAAAGTTATATATTATACTTTTGGATGCTTGAAAAAATTAGAGGCGTTCTTTACATTATGCAGTAATTTTATTATTTGTATTAGTATGTTGATGTTGAGTGACTAGAAAAAATTCTCCATTTAAAATAATTAAAATTTATAATTATATTCTTCTGTAGGAGAATCATTTTACGAAGATAAAAATATTATTCTATATTCTTCTTCAATCATTATTTTAAAATACGTCATAGATCATACATTACCTTAAAATATCTAAATTCGGATTAACTTATTCATTTAAATTCTAAAATAATATCATTTTAAATTTTAATACTATTAAAATTTACTAATATAATTTTTTTTAAGTACCTGTATCTTTTTGAATACAAAGTAGAATAATAACAGATACTTTTATATAATTTTCTTAGATACAAGATACTTTTCAAAATTTTAAAAAAGATACATATATAATTTAATATAATATATTTGAATAGCTAACAAGAAGATTAAATAAAAATATCAAAATAGTTTAACAAAAAATAAGATTACAAAAATAATAAGGTAAATTGAATAAAGATGATTTAATGAGTGTATGATATAAAATTCAATTACTGACAAAATATATAATTAAACAGTATTTTAATTGTTAATATTCTTATTATATAACTATATATAATTAATATTTTGTAAATATTATACCACTTTTCAGTTTTAGGAAAAAATTCTTTTTATTTTTATCTTAGCTTTAACCCTTAGCTGTAATTTTTATGTCTTATTATTTTATAATTATGTTGGAACATGTAATAAAGATATTAAAGATATTTATTCCTATTATATATATATATATATATTGATTATTATTATACTTATCTTTCTATTCAAACTATTCTTCAATTGTTACATCACTCTTGTTTATTACACTGCCCAACCCTGAGTTTATATATTATAATAAAATGATCAATATGTTCTATTGTTGATAAAGAAAAAAGTATAATTAATTAAACGAATATAATAAAAACATTAATTTATAATAAAACTAAAACTTTTCCAATATAACAAATTCATATGTATATTCACTTCACATATGGTTGCTTTTTAGTTAAAGCACATATATAATCATTTAAGTCCAGATTTGTTAAAGAAGTCAAACATAATAGAATCATCTCGTGATTGGGACCATTTTTAAAGTCTGTAATAATATAATTTTACTAATATTTCTTTAATAACTCCATAATGTCTCTTGATCTGTCATGTCATCATTTTATATTAAACATTGTGCAATCATTTTATTTTTAGCCGACCTTTGTGTTTAATTTTGGATGAATCTTTAAAAATTCAATCAATGTGAGCAATTTTTACTTTTAACACAAGAAACAATCATAATCAAATAATTTAAAGATTAGTATAAAATTTATATGAATAATTATTTAAATTTTTCATCACATTAAAGGATTTTTAAATTATAATGTTGATAATATGTGTTCTATTTAGTGTCACAAACTTTGCTATTATTAAAAATTTTCTATTTTGACCAAGTAGGGTTTTGAAATATATCATTTTTGAGATCTCTAGAGGTTCTCATTATCTGACCTGGGGTAAATTTTGAAGTTTATTTTTGATTTTTTGCTTGGCACACAGACTTATATCTTAAAATTCCTAAAGGGGCAAGGTGTCAGATTTTTTCTACACAATCTGTTTATTATATCTAACCCATATATATGATATATGCTTATTTTTATAAAAATTCCATATAATATAAAAGTAATTTTAAATAATTTTAATCTTGTTTACTTTCCAGTTCTGATTTAGGTCTTGTCTACTTTAATTTAATCATCTTATCTTATACTTGGTATTTTAATTTGTAAGTGTTTTAAAAAAAGATACAAATGTGAAATGTTAATTAATGTTTAAATGATTGATTATCTGATAACAATATTAATACAATTAAAATTTAGGGTATATCAACTTAAATTTAAATGTTTCTTACAATTTTTTAGCCCAACCCAGAATTTGGAACCTGGATAAATACAGCATCTCTTTTAAAATTTCTTAGAACCTTAGCCTATTTAAAAATGGCAGGTTTCTTTTTTTTTACGAATTATAAATATTAAAAAAATAATAGTTTTTTAAAATATATTTATTTTGCTTCATGCAATAAAATATTTTTTTATATAAAATATTTTGTTTAATTTTTAAAAAAATTAATAGAATATATTTTTTTTAAAAACTGATTGGAATTTCTCTTGGGTTAATTCAAATATTCATTTTTATTTTATTTAACTTTATAAATTGGTTTGGTTCATATTTTGTAAATTAAAAATACCTACTTTGCCTGCCTAGACATTAAAAGAAAATATTTGGGCTGGACCAAAAAAGAAACAATTCTTAGGACTCCAGAATAACATCAACTATACAAAAATTAAATATTTAGGCCTGAGCCCTGTCCTTTATACCAATTTGCTGGGTTTTATTTATTACATCAAATAATTATTTATATTATACTAGAAGATAGCCCATCAAAAATGAAGGGGAGAATTTTCTTCTTACTTTTATGATAATTGTTACCTCTTATTCAAAAATAATATCCAATTATTATTCTTTTAATCCCCCCCCTCTTCATGCCAGGTTTAATCCATTAAAACTAAGTGTAAATACTATGGTTTGGTAAAATTAAATTTAAAACTTTTACTTGATAATACCAATATTATTTGTTAAATATTACTGATCATTTATACCTAATATTTAATATTAAAAAAATTCCCAGGCAAAGTACAAAGCCATAATAATTTTGAAAAATTCTTCCAAGCCCAATGAATATAATAATTTTGGTAGTTGAGCTGAAATAAAATATTTAAATAATCATAATGTTAAAATTACAATCAAAATCAGATTTTCGTGGGCCTAGGTTTTTTGATCAGGCTGAGCCCAGGCTTGCATAAATTTTTTTTAGGCCAATGTCTGACTCATAGTTAATAATAAAAAAATTCTCAAGCATTCTAGCTCATAATATTTTTGAAAAATTTTTCCAAGCCCAGCCTAATATAATTTATAAAAATATTTTTCAAACCCAGCTCAACCTATAAAAATTTTATAAAAAAATTTTCCCAAGTCTGGCCAACCCATTGTAATTTTCAAAATTTTTTCCCAACCCAGGCAATAGGTAAATCTCTAAATTTTATTCTATTTTATTAAGACTGAGAATGAATACTATTTTTATAAAAATATATTTAAATTAGTTGAACCTGAGGGCCATATAAATATTCTGTGTTAAATATTACACCTATGCCTAATATTAAAAAAATCCACAAGCCAGGTCCACGCACTTGGGAAAATTTTCTCAAAAAGACCATAATAATTTTGATAGTTGAGAACTGAAATAAAATATATAAAAAGTCACAATGCATTTAAAAATACAATCAGAATATGAAAGTTGCATGGGCCTTGGTATTTGATCAGGCCTGGTCATGTCTCCAAAAGAAATTTTCAGGCCAATTTCTAACCTATATTTAAAATTAAAAAAATTCAGGAATCTAAGACTATATTAATTTTAAAAAATGTTTCCCAAGCTACTTTCAAGTCCATATTAATTGTGAAAAATATTTTCCAAACCCAGGAAAACCCAGAATAATTTATTTTTTCCTTGGATTCAGAAAAATAGGTGTGATGTAGGGGTTTATAAGAATTAAATCTGTCTAATATGTATATATTTTTTTTGCCATTTATATTATTGGGAAAATTTTTCAAAATTAGGATCAAATGAAGTGGAAATATCTGATTTACCTATCATTCTACTGGTTAGCTCCTGCCTGGTATTTATATGAAAACCATGAATACATATTAAAGTACCATGCTAAAAATATGTTCATTCTAATTTAAATTTTAAACAAACCACCACCCTTCCAAATGATTTATTACTTAGTTACAAAATATAAATTTAAGACATTGTTATTAAATTACAATAGAAAAAATAAAAAGATATTCAAGTTAACAAATAATAGGAGGTTAACTTTAATCATAGTCAAATTATATATAAGTTAAGTTAAACAAAAAAGTTATACATTTAATCAAAAATGTTATAATAAGTTATTACCTAATTAAGAGATATAAAGTTGTATAAAATTCAATGTGGAATGGATCCTTCTTAAGGGTTTTAACATAAAACTCTCATCTGCAAGTATAAATTTTTACATTATAAAATACAAATGAATAAAAATTTATTTTAAAAGACTTTTTAATTGTACACATAAATTAAAATTACTAAATATATACTTTATTAACATATTTTATAAGAATAATGGAAAATTTTAGAATAACCCTATATAAATATAAATTTTTTTCTGATTCATCCCTCATCAAATCAAAGAGAAAATTCTGATTCCCCATATAATGGTTTAAATTTTAAATTATACATAAATTCAATAATTAAAAAAGTATTTAAATAAATCTCGTACTCTTTGTATCATATCTATTTGATTAATTGTCAGATTAAGAAAAAAATATTTTACCAGATTAAGAAAAAAAAACATTTGACAGGGTTTGAACCCAAGTCCAATAATTCATCTAGATTTGTAAACAAAGTTCTTGCCCGATTGGAAAATTAATGATTTTTTGAATATATATTATAAAGTGTGATATGAAAAGTGTGACATGATTTTGTGACAAGGCATTTATATATATTATAGATAGATAATCAGCTGTCAGTCATTACTATCAGATAAATAATAATTTATTTTCTTTTTTGTTTGATTTTTGAATATTCAACTGAATATTACAAAATTTAAATAACAAAATAATTTCATTTATTTTTTATATCCTCTTTTAAAAATTTTGTAGCTTGTTTATAATTTGCTTTAATAAAAATTTACATGGATTTAAAATTTGTAACAAGATATGAGATTTATTTTATTCTTTTAAGATTTTTTTACATCGTTTAAGCTCTTGTTAAATTTATTAGAAGTTGACCCAGTCATAAAGGTCTTGTTAATATTCTATTACGTTTTTTGGCCAAGCCCATAATTATCTTTGAACTAAGTTGTCAGACCCACCCCATGATAATTATTTTTGAAGGAAACAACATAAATTTTCCTAATTATTATCACATTTAAAAAAATCACACTTTGACTTGGTCTGTAAAAAAATTTTTAACATTATCTGGCTCAACTTAAAAAAAATTTGTGGCATGGTTTGAGTCTGAATAATGATCCATATGCATTACAAATTTATTTATATTTTAAAAAATATAATCCTACAAACAAGAAATAAAAATGCTGAATCAACGAATGAGTCTTATAGATGGTAGAGTTAGTCCTAAAATGCCCAAAACAAATGCTCAAGATGATATAGATATCAAGAAGATCAGACCTGTTACAAAATTCAATAAGAGAGAGACGGGCCACAGGTTTCATATATTTTTTTAAAATAGTTTCTTATATTATTAACTTTCAATGATAACATTATTAAAATAACAGAGGTAATATGGGGTCTTTCTTATCATTAACTTATAATCCAATCTATCTAGATAATTTTTGCAAATTTAAAGCTAAAATTTTGCCACATTCACATCTTAAAAGTATAATTTTTAATATAATAGTTTTTTACTATCAAAAATTATTAATAATGTTATTAATAACATTTATTTATTAAAATATTGTTGGTAATTTGATTATTTTATTTATATAATATATTTAATTATTTAAAAAATCTAACCAAACATAGTATGGGGAATTTAACGCCCCCAGCCTAAAAATAAGGTTAATAAACTATAATTATATAGGATAAAAATAAAAATTTAAGAAAATTTCCAAATAGAAAATATCATTAAAATAATGCTATCAAAATATTTCAGAGTGTTTGTCAACAGGAGCTTGCAATTGGAAAAAGTCAAATTTTTTGGGTTTGATATGGATTACACCCTAGCCAGTAATATAATTTTTTCATAAAATTAATATAATAAATAATAATTTTTTAAAATATATTTTTTTTATTTATAATATTTTTCATGTACTATTTCATTATATATTTTTGTTTTATTTATATTCCTTTTGTTTTATTTGAATTATCTTTTCATTCTATTTTTAATCTTCTTTCATAACTATTGCACATGTTTTTCTTATTTTCTATTTTATTGTAAAGTCTTACAAGGCCTGCTTGTTAGTGTGGGCTGGATTGTTGGTCGCATTTAATAAAATATAGACTCATTCCTTGGGAAAAGTTATTGCTGAATATTTAAAATGAATACTAAAATAGAATAAATTAAATATTCTGAGTTTGAGATTTTTTTCCCCTATGTACTTCCCAGCTAGGCCATAGGCCAGGCTATATCTAGAAAAAATAATTGCTACAGGCCATGATGGGTTTGGGCTGAATAATTGATTTTATGGGTATCTAATTTATTATTTCTTTTTATTATATTTAATAATTTATCTCATATATTTATTTCCTTTCTAATTGTTTTTTGGTTATGTTTTTTAAGCTCAATTTTGTCATTGACTCTCTTTCCTTAACTAAAAAGGTGATAGAAAAAAAAACTGGAAGCAAAACCTCACTGGAGAAACTCCCAAAATCGAACATTTTTTAAAGAAATTTAGTACATTCAAAAGAATATATAATACCTAACCAAATTATTTTATATTTAAAATAATATTGATTTTGCATAGTATATATTTAGCCATAATTCAATACTTTTATCTGACCTTTAAATATTTTACCTCACTTTTAATTATTTTATCTAACTTTTAATTTTATTAGTTTAGAAATACCTATAAATTCACATATGTCTGATTGATTATTTTATATAGTCTTTATTTATTTTCGGTTAGAAATACCTATGTATCCACGTGTCTAAACTTGACTAAATTTTTTAAAATACAATAACTTTCATTTTATTAGGAATAAAATTTGTGTTTGATATAATATACAAATTTTAATTAAAAATAAAATACTCTAGAATGATAATAATTACATATGTCTACATTGATACTTTGAAGCAATTGCTCTGATGAAATTAGGTAGCTCTCGCACCACATAAAGATATTCTTTACTGTGTTTTCTTTAGATCTTGGATGATCATCTTCCAACATGCTCTCTTTTTAGTTTTATATAATTTGAGGCGGCAGTAAATTTGATTTTTATTAATAAATGCCCAGCAGATAGATTGTTGTGACGAGTTAAAAAAAACGATTATTCCTCACTTCACATTGACTAGTTATGGATTCTTAATTGACGTTCCGAATTCTAGGTAGAAACCAATGCGAAATTTGGCCCGTTTAGAATTAAGAAATTATTTTTTCTTTTATCACTCTTAATACTTCGTTGACACATTTCTTTTAATCAAATTATTTGAATATTTCTTGTCAAGAATAATTGTTCTTTGTTCATTATTGCATCGGTGATATTGCAACAATAGAACAAAATCCATGACATGCATAATTGCAAAAATAGAGATTTTCACATCATATTATATTGACTTCACAGCCCAAGTTTCTTTATTTTTCTATGTCTAATTTGTCATAGATGGTAAAAACGATTTGATGATCACATGATTTCCCTACTAAAAAAATAGAATGTAAATTTTTTAATAATTATACCAATAATGACTTTAACGGGCGTCATAGTCTATTTTTTTAAATTCTCATAGTATATAAGGCGAATCCTGGAATATTTGTTTTTTCGTGATATTTATACTAATATTTCTCCGACATTTTTTATTGTGTTTTGGGCTTTTATTCAGGAGTATTCAATAAACGGAAATGATAAAAAAGATTGTTCATTACTTTCCATGTTGCATATAGCAAGGAAAATTTTGGGAAATATAAAGAAATTGCCATCTATTATTATGAAAGCTGCTAAATTTTGAGTAAAAACATTTATATATGAAATATTAAAATTAATCATAAAGTGATGTGAACGTGAAAGATGGAATGAAACTTTTGAATATACCATGGTTTTATTGTATAAAGATGTTTTTTAAAAATTTTAATGGTTAAAAAATTTACAAGTTAATTATTATCGATGTCAATAGTGACGTAAAATCGCTCCATTTGAGCAGATTTTTAAAAAGGGCTAACTCAATATTTTAGTAAGAAAAATATTACCTAAGCCTCTATATTTCGCTAATAGATGTCCAAGTTTTTGTGTCATCTATTGAGGCTTACGTAATATTTTTCTGGATAAAATACTGAGTTAGTCCTTTTTAAAAAATTAGCTCAGGAGCGATTTTGCATAACTAGATATGAAGGATGGAAAGGAGAGTATAACATAGCTGCCTTATAATGTTTTACATTTTATATTTTTAATCATTAATGTAGAATTCTGTATAAATTTTTTCCTAGAAATTTTGTTTTATATCTTTTTGCTAAATCCTATCATATTATGGGGAATCATTTCTAACAGGAATTTCGGGATTACAGCCCAATCAATATTTTTTTTTAAAACAATTTAATTTTTTTCCAGAAAGCATTTATAAATATACATTTTAATAAAACAATGGTACATTTTAAGGAAAATAAAAAAAAATGAACAAAAATATAAATGTTTCTTTTAAAATTTATTATATTTTAGTTTTTTAAATTTAATAATTAAAATTATTATTAATTTTTCTCACTTCTTCTTCGCCATACTAATCTTTATAAATAAAATAGTGTACAAATCACCGGAATATGAATCTCTAGCTTTTGATTTGGCACTCAAAAGGATCGTGAAAATAGGATACCCAAATGAATTGTTGGAAGTTCAATATGACGCTTCTTTTCCTATGAGGTTTACATTTATTATATTTTGCTGTATTTTATTTAATTTTATATTTATATCTCTTAGTTTTCTATTCTAATTGTATAAATTGCTTTATTTTTTTTATTTTTAATTCAGGATTCTATTTAATTGAAATCTTTTCTAATTCAAAATTATATTATAATATTGTATTCTATCTTGATTATATTTTTTCTTTTTCTAATTTTACGATCACTTTTTAATTTATACATTCACGTTATAGAGGTCTGTGGTTCGACACATTTTACGGGACCCTTCTCAAGACTGACCCATTTGGTCACATACTATTGTGCGTTTCTGGGTTCGATTTCCTAGACCCGTAAAAATAAAAATTATATTGCTCTATCTGCAATCCTTTTTCTTACGCAAAAAATTATTTGATATAATAAAATTGATAGATGTGTGAATGAATGATAAAATCAAATTTTGAATATTTTTTTATATTTATGATTATATATTTTTAGGCACGAGATATCTAAACTTTACCCAAACAAATTCATAAATCTCGATGAAAATCGGTGTTACGTCATGAACACACTCTTTGATCTTCCAGGTTGATACTCGTTCATTCATTATTACTCTCAATTTTTCATTTCATTTTTAATTTATTCATTTCTCATCTAAAAAATTTTATTTTCTCCTTTTTATTCTCTTTCTTAATTTAATTTTTTTCCCTCATTACCTATCATTTTTACTACATTTATGTGTTCATTTATTCAACTGGTTAACTAAATAATCAATTTTATTTATTAATATATTACACATACGTTTTACAGAAGCTTACCTACTCACAACTCTTGTTAATTATTTCAAAAATAACCCAGATTATACCAGGTTTGTGACTTTTGTTTAAATTTTATTTTTTATAAAACGTAATTGAAGGGAAAAGAAATGAAATAGGAAGAATGAGATATGATAAAGAAGATAAAAAATTTAACAAAACAATAATAATCAAAAGGAAGAATGAATGAAGAAAGTTTAAAAGGGGGGAAGTTTAAGATAGTATAGATTACTAATTTAAATACCATTACAAGGGATGTGACCGGTGTTAAATGTGGAGATATCTTTATGTCCTATCAATCTCTCTTCCAAGATGTCAGATCGGCAGTTGATTTCATTCATGCGCAAGTAAGCTAAACATTATATATATACATCGATTCATAAACAATTTTTTTATGAAATCTTATTAAAATTATGCTATCTTTATGAATTTTTAAAATGAAATTAACATAATGCCAATAGAATAAATATATTATAAATGACAATATATATTTTTTGCATGAAACTCCCATTTTCAAATGCTTAATTTGCATGCTTAATAACTTTTATATTTGCAAAATGTCACATACTGCTTTTTTTTGCACTTATATAGCATGAAACTTTGCTTTAACACATTCTTCTATTATTGGATTGGCAGACCAATAAAATTAAAAAAACACTTTTCTATCTTATTAATGCTTGCAATGATATTAAATGCTAGCTAAAAAAAATGCTACTATATTTCAAATTCTTATGAAAATTTTTCCTTTTTTTGTTTAAGTTTTTATTTTTCTTATTTTAAAAAAAATAAATAGGTTGGAAATGTAAGTGACAAAACTCCGAAACAAAAATACATAAAAAAATATAGCCTTTTTCTTTTTTAATCACTAATTATTTACTTAAAAATTATGCGCCAATAAAAGTAAAATATTTTATAAATTTTTTTATAATTTTTAATCCATTTCACAGCCAATATTTTATAATTTTTTACTTCTTTCATTCCTATTTTTTTCTGCTTTTTTAATTTTTTCACTTTATCCTTTGCATTTATGAAATTTTTCTTCTTTATTTCTTATTTACAAATTTTCTTTTCTTATTGCATTATTACAAATTTTTACAAGAATTTATTTTCGGTGTTTTGGTTATAAACGCAACCAAGAGTTTTTTGGATAACATGACTTATTTAAGAATTATTTTTGATATTTTGAAACGAAATAAATATATTTCCTATTTTAAATTTTCGGCGAAAAAGGTAGTATCGTATCGATGCATCTCATAACAATTTGACAGGCACTTTTAGGAAATTCTATTTGCTTGTTTTATGTCTACTGGGTGAAACTAATTTTTATTATTTTCATATAGCGTCCCAACTGATCTAAAAAAAATTATACTCCATTTTTTTTGGGCCACCACCCATTCCCTATTTCGATCCTCTAAAACCCGTAAGCTAGGGTTAGACTGGATTCATAATGGGATAGGATCCGACATGATTTAGCAGCTGATCGATTTTTAAAATTTGTTTGTGATTTAAATTAATATTAATTTTATTTTTAACTCCTCTTCATGATAATAATCTAAGAATTATTTATTTTAATAAAGAAAAAATGGTCATATTAAAAGATTTTAAAAATCGCCTAGCTATTAAATTGTGTCTTATTAGATCTCACTATGAATTCAGCCTTGGTCTTTATAGGATTATATTATTTAGATCAGTTGATGGTATAAACGTATTTTACTTTTACAAAAGAAATTTTTTTGGGGTGTGAGGGGGGGGGGAAGAGGGCTATTTTTTAAATATTATTATCTTGACATTTCAAAATGTTTTCTTTTTCATTTTATATATACACTCCCAATCAGCCTTATATAACTGGTCTCATTTAGTATAAGAGTGTTATATGTGCTTCTCATTTAATTTTTTTTAAATTTATTTATCTCGTAATTGGCTGAAATGTTTGAGTATTATTTTAATGTTCCATTTCTATCATTGTTCATTTTTTTTAAGATTTAATTTAAATGGATTTAGGAAATAAATTAATTCATTGTTAACGCGTGGATTATTTTTATAACATGTTTAGCCTAGGCTATTCAGCCTTTGAGCTATGACAACCTATTCTGATTTGTTTTAAGTTTGTGCATTAAATAAATATTACTTTTTATTTATATACAAATAAAACAGGATCTATACGGGGTTCCATATATCTAAATAACCTCTTTCCTTTTTAGGCGGTTTAGAGGAAACGAAATTATCCGGGGGGGGGTTGACAATTCTTAGCGTTTTTTTCTCGTAGGGTAATGAAATATTTTTTCCCCGTAGGGTAATGAAATATGGTGTCGGCCATTATTAAAATTGCGACCTATTTTATAATTTTTAACTCTAATTACTAATTAATTAGTATTATTTTAACCCTCAATTAGTGTTGTTAAACGGCTCGATTTTTAAAAACGAATAACCCAATATTTTAGCCAAAAATATTACGCAAGCCTCGAGATTTTGCTCATAGATGGCAGGAAAGTCTGAACATCTATTAACGAAATCTCTAGGCTTGCATAACATATTTTAGGTAAAATATTTCGTTAGCCGTTTGTTTTTATAAATCAAGCCGTTTAACAACACTATCCTCAATCCTGATCTTAACCATTTCAAGGAGATTGATTTCAGAAAAGAAAAAAACTCCCAAATTGGTATCAAATCACGGATCTAATCTTCTAAATCTGCCATTTTAAAATTGATAAATAAGTACATTTTACTATGTTATCTAATATTTTATAAAAAACCAATGTAAACATGGCGAGTAAAAAAAATGACAAAAAATTAATAAAAAGAAAAGGAATTAATAATAAATCCTTGTTTTGCTAATGATATTTTTTCTTTCAAATGAATATATAGCACATAGAACCTTCTAATTCTAACAGATTAGAAATAAATATAAGGCTGATAACCCAATAATCAAACAATATATATTGTTTTAAAGTATCGATTTCGAGAGAGAGGCAGTGTGCTTAAATATCGTTTTGGTTTTGCGGCATTTATCTAATAATGGATTTCAATTTTGTATCATTCATACCGATAAGCGTTTTATTTGTTATTTTGAAATCCCACACCTATTGACTTCTTTTCCTCTGTTTAATGGCTATTTTCAGGTTTATCCAGGTCATCCCCGATGGGGAATCTTTATTTTTCTCGGTCCTGAGCATCACTAATTGTGAGATCCATTTTTCTCATATCCTGGCCTTATAAACTTTACCAACGTAATCTTGTCTTCTTCACGGCCTTGATCCTCTTACCTCCAAAAAGATGCATCTCTTTCCCCATTCATCTTTTATCTTTAGTTCCACATACCCACACCTCTATTTCTTTTCATAACCAATTAAATCGCTTCTATTTTCCATATTTTTCCCAATCCTTTTCTAGTTTTCTCCAGAGATTGCCCATACATTCATCTAATCTTTCTCAAGTTTTATAGAAAAACATAGCGCTAAACGCGTCTCCTCAATTTCTAAGCATTCATTAGAATGACTATAGAAAAATATAAAGTGGAATTTTTTTAAAAAATTTAAAACTTAAATCGGTATGACTAAATATTGCATTGCTAAAAAGCAATTAATCAAAATATTATTATATAACCTTTTTTTAAAAATAATTTTTTTAAATATTTTAATCAATTTTTTATTTAATTCAAATCTACTTTTTTTAATATGAGTGGAAAAAATATAACTAGCCTTTTACAACTCAAATTTTATTTTTCAATTTTAAAGTTTAATAAATATATCTCCAAAAGAGGGCATTAAATGCATAAATATGAAATGGTTAGCGCTTTTTTTATATTTGGGTGTAGATAAATGCGAAACCTAAAAATTAAAAATATTGATAGGATTCTCTGACATATAAATTATAAGTAATTTTATTATCGAAAAAAAAATCGCAAACTTGTAGGGCACTTATTGTTAGCGTTATTGATCGAAATCTCTTTATTTTTGTTTTCAATGCTTATATTTACGTGTAAAAACTTATCACAAATTTTTTTTTTTAATATTGTGATTTAGACGATTTCCGATCTCAAAATTGACCACTTACTAATTAAATTGCTAGTAATATCAATTGAAAAATGCTCATTTTTGTTTGCTTTTTTTGTTATATCTATTGAATCAAATGTATTCTAGTTTGAGCTAATTTAATAAAATTATCTGTTATTTCTAGGTTGTTGATGATATAATAGAGGGAAAATTAAATAAGTAAGCAGTCGGTTTTAAGTAGTGTTGTTAAACGGCTCGATTTGAGCCGATTTTTAAAAACGGCTAACTCAATATTTTAGCCAGAAAAATATTGTCTAAGCCTCAAGATTTCGTTTATAGATGTTATAAATCTTTGTGCCTCCTATGAACAAAATCTTAAGGCTTGCATAATATTTTTCCTGATAAAAGATTGAGTTAGCCGTTTTTAAAAATCGGCTCAAAATGAGCCATTTAACAACACTAGTTTTAAGTTCGGCAATCGTTCACACAATATTTTTAAATTTTTTTGGGGGATGATGCTTAATATGTATATATTCGTGTATAAAATAAAAATGTAGATTTTTCCATGGATAATCTGCATTGCAGTACTTAGTCATCGGCCGGTTTTGAGTCGGCAATCGTCCAAATCACAATATTTTTAAAAAAAATTTGGGATACTTTTTAAAGACTAACCAATAATTATTCGAGTATTCCTAATATGATAATTTTATTTATGCATTTAACGCCCTCATTTGAAGATATAATTTTTATTATAAAGATTGATGTAAAACGATTCAAATAAAATGTGATAGCTGTTTGGGAAATTGTTATATGTCGACCAACGCCATTATATTATCTTAAAATATCTAAACTCGGATTAAATTTTTCTTTTAAATTTTAAAATAATATCATTTAAAATTTTAATACTATTTAAATTAATATAAATTTTTTGTATCTTTTTGAATAAAGAGTTGATTAAGATAGATATTTTTAAATAATTTTATCTTAGATACAAGATATTTTCCAAAATTTAAAAAAAGATTAAAGATATAAAACTATCTTATATCAAGATACAGATATCCGCGATACTGCCCCTGACATTTAATAAAAATAGATTTATTTATTAATAGATATTTAATCTCTAATTTTATTTAATAAAAATGTTTCTGAAAATTATTTTAAAAAAAAGATTAAAATAAAATTATGATTAATTGCTTTTTAGCAATGCACTATTTAATCATACCCCGATATATGTTTTAAATTATTTTACTGCAAATTTGATGGGGATTAGTTTAATAGACTATATATGGTGAATTCCATATCAAATCAACAAAAAAAAGTCGATTTTCAATCCGACCCCCTTCAATTTTTCTTAAATTTTGTATACTGGTAGTATATACTATAACTAAGAAAAAAAAGGAAATTTTACCTTCCAACACTGTTTACCCGCTAAGATATGGCCGTTTAAAGCGCGGAAAAATGGTACATTTTTGACAAATTGCACCTCATTTATTTTCACATATCTCGAGAAATAATTATGTTGGAAAAATAATTTAAATTTTATTTTGTAGCCTAATAAAAGTTCTTTAAAATGACATAAAAATAAATAATATGGACATTTGATTAATATCGAAAACCGGATGTGTATAACCGGAAATGGCCATAGAAAAAAAAGGTATTTTTTTTTAAATTTTTTTTCTGTAGATAGATATCACACTGCTTTATATTTGTACAAAATTCTAGACTGGAATGAACATGGGTTTAGGAGTTATCACTCTTTATATGGCTAAAATTGAACAAATTTAACATTAATATCATCATATATTAATTTAATGAATAGTTATGAAATAATGTTAATTTAAAAATTATGTCTAAATGATAGGCCCTTACTTTTTTTTATCTTTATAAAAAAAATTTGAGAGGTGGCTGGGATAATGAGCTGTTTAAAACTTTAGTTAAATTTTATCTCGAAATTAAAATTACTTGACAAAATAATTTTAAATATTTTATTTAGCATAAAATAATCTACCAAAATTGAAATTCAACAATAAATTTTCCCCCATATATTCAAAATTAAAAGAAAGGCTTAATATATTATTTGGCCAGAATTCTATAGAATATAAAACATTCAAACAATGGATAGCAGTTGATCGAACTACCTCGAAACACTGACAAAATCCGCTGACGAATTTATAGATTATTTAATTGAATAATTAAACAATTTGATTCCTCATTTGTTTATAGCTTCACGATAATCATTAATTCGAAACTTTTTAAAATTCAATTTAAATGTTGGCGAATTCTTAGTTATTGCAAACTTTTCGGAAAACTATGCATTTGTAGTGCAGAACCACGCACAAGGATTTAATCAGACCAATAATCAAGCCACTATCAACTCTTTTATAATTTATTACCGTGAGAACAACATAATAAAACATGTAAATTTAGTGGTTATATCAGATTTTTTAAAGCACAACGCATGTGCATTTTATTTATTTTAAATAATCGTATTCTTGAAGGAAAGATTTAATAGAGTAGATAAAATTTATTATTTTTCTGATGGAGCAGTAACCAATATAAAAATAAAAGATTTCATTAATCTCTACAATCATAAAAATGATTTTGGGATAAAGGCTGAGTGACATTTTTTGAAACCGCACAAGGTAAAAGTCCATGCGACATTTTAGGGGTCGTTACTAAACGGTTAGCAGCTCGAGCAAGCTTGCAACGTCCATATGAACATCACATATTGACAACAATAGGATTATTAAACTATGCAAGAAATAATATCTATGGGGTAAATTATATATTTGTGAGCAATAATGAAATATGAAGATAGAAAGTCATCTTGAAAGCAAATTTTTGAGAGCAAAGAGAATTTCTGGAACACAAAATTCCAAGCTTTTATTCCCCTAGACGAAAACAAAAGTCATAATTTATTAAAACTCCTTGGATGTTTATAATATATGATATATTTTAATTATAAATTTTTGATTGTATTATATGTAATGCAATTTAAGGCAAATAAAGTTATAAATATGTTTAGAATTATTTTGTCATGTAACTTCTAGACAAAATTTAACTAAAGTGTTAAACAAAGCTCATTATTCCAGCCACTTCTCAAAAATTTTGATAAAGGTAAAAAAAAAGTAAGGGCCTGTCATTTAGACATAACTTTTAAAGTAACATTATTTCATAACTATTCATTAAATTAAAATATGATGATATTAATGTTAAATTTGTTTAATTTTAGCCATATAAAGAGTGATAACTCCTAAACCCATGTTCATCCCAGTCTAGGATTTTGTACAAATATAAAGCAGTGAGGTATCTATATACAGAAAAAAATACCTTTTTTCTAAGGCTTTTTCAGTTAATTATTGATGATATTAATGTTAAATTTGTTCAATTTTAGCCATATAAAGAGTGATAACTCCTAACCCATGTTCATCCCAGTCTAGGATTTTGTACAAATATAAAGCAGTGTGATATCTATCTACAGAAAAAAAAATTTGAAAAAAATAGCTTTTTTTTCTATGGCCATTTTCGGTTTTACACATCCGGTTTTCGATATTAATCAAATTCATTTTTATGTCATTTTAAATAACTTTTATTAAGCTACAAAATAAAATTTAAATTATTTTTCTTACTTAATTATTTCTCGAGATATTTGAAAATAAACGAGGTGCATTTTGTCAAAAATTTACCATTTTTCCACGCTTTGAACGGCCAATCTTAGCGGGTAAACAGTGTTGGAAGGTAATTTCATTTTTTTCTTAGTTATAATATATACTACCAGTATACAAAATTTAAGAAAAATTGAAGGGGGTCGGGTTTAAACCTTGGTTAATTTGATATGGAATTCACCATATATAAGTATTACCATTTATAAAGTTTTCTCTATCATTTTGGAAACTTTGTCAATACCATTTTTTTAAAGGATTATTTGCTTCTTTTTTATATGAATATGTGAGAATATTTTACCTTATGAATGAAGATTAAAATGTAAATTTTTTATAGGGGTCCTTGAAATCGTTGACAGTTCAGGACATTGAAAAGTATGTGCACAAAGATGAAAGGCTGCCACTCTTTTTGGAAAGGTTTTATTTGTCATCAATAAAAATAAATCTTTTTTTATTTTGAATTTTTTTTTAACTAGGCTGCCTCCAAAAAACATCAATAAAAATTATTTCGAAACTTTATCTAAATAACGTGAAATAAGCCTTTTAATAGGAAATTATGCCTAAACCCAAAACATTTGTGAAAGTTTTCTAAACTTTTAATTAAAATTTTTGAAACTCGAAACATTTTGACACATCCTTATAAATTTCTTTTATCTACTTCTTTTTTCTCCTACTTTTTTTTTTCTTTTTTCCTAAATAAATTCAATTACTTTTTTCTCAAATAGATTAAAACAAGGTGCCAAAGTTTTCCTGTTAACTAATAGCGGCTACGAATATACGGAAGTAAAATTTATCTAATATTTAACCTTATTCTTTTTTAAAAAAGGCACATGGTTAGATGCTTAAAAACATCGAACCTTAATAATAAAAAGGTATTTTATAGTTTGTAACCCCAGTTAAAACCAATTAAAGAAATTTTTTTTAAAAAAAGAATTCAGTTTCCTTAATTACGTGCATTAATACAATTAGGAATAACGCCGTATCCGGAATCATCTCTTTTTTAAAAAACTTATTTCTGTCTAGACCCGTCGATTATTCGGAGTATGAACTAGGAATTTTTGGTTTGTTTTAAGTGCCTTTTAGCTGGTCTTTTTAAAATAACCATCGAATAGTTCACTTATTTTTGAGTATGTCTTAACTGTTATTAATGGTTTTTTAAATATTAAATCGAAATAGAGGGAAAATTGAGTAATGAGTAACATATTTTTTTAATGAATCAAAATGTTTTTCTATTAATAAGAATTCTATATATTATTGTGATAAAGTTTAGGCTCTAACATTCATAATTGTGTTCATATAAAGGCTTGCGGAATCCTACTCCCTTCCTTTTAGAAGAAGGGGAATATCAGAAGGTACCTTGGCTTTTATAGCTTACCCAGCTCTTGTATTTGAAAAAAAAATTACAAGTATACGTAAAGTAATTTAGCACAATTAGTTGATTCTAACAAAAATATATATAAGCAAAAAACGAACGACAATAAACTTTGGAAAAGCTCATGATAATTTTTCAAAATTTTAAAGGGGCATAATGATGAATGTTATTTATATTTGAATCATTTTTTTATATTAAAAAAAATAATATAGAAATTGATGACATACCTCTTCGATCTTCCTATCGTAAGATTTATAATTATTATTTATTTTTATATGAATGAAAACATTATTTTGAAAGGATATTATAAAAAATGATTTTGAAAGTTATATTAATGCTACCCAATTGTAAAATCTAAAATAAAGATTAGCTTAGAAAGAAACTCGAAAAGAAGGGGAAAATATATATAATTTGGCCTTGGAAAATGGATAATTGCTTCAAAGCTTACCTATGATTTTTAAAATAAAGTGGAGAGGCATAAAAATATATAATTTGAAAAACAAACATAAAGAGAAAATGGGAAAGAAAGAAAAAGATATATTTTTTAGAGAGAAAGTTATACACGAAAAAGGCTTAGCTAAAGAAAAATTTTAATTATTTAACACCAGCAATTGTCTAATATTCCTCCCGGGAGAATCTCGGCCTTCAAGAAACATAAGAATTGATAAATTTGAGATAAATTAAACAAAAATTGTTGAAGTAAACTAGATACCGAAATACTGTATCAGAGAAGATAAGAAATAGAGAAAAAAAATCGTGAGAGATGAGATAAGTTATCTTTTAAATAATTAATCACTATCATTTTATAAATCGTTAAATAGAAGGATGGCAAGGAACACAGGAATTGGAAAACTTACTTCGACTACATTTTTGTGGATGCCCAGAAACCCGTTTTTTTCAAAGGAGGAACCATTCTCAGACAAGTCGATGAAGTAACCCCATAATTTGTCCATATAATCATTAATTCTCCCATTTTCTTGGTTTTTTTCTTCATCTTCCTAAAATTTATTGTCAATGTAAGTCCTAATTTGTTTATTGTCTTGAACAAATAATGTAATCCACCGATAACCAGAAAGGTTTATTAGTATCGCTATTTATTTTTATGGCGATACTTTGGCAGATAGCAAATTAATCAACCCTCTAAAAGTGACCAATGAAATCTTGCGCTATAAAAAAATTATTTTTTTTTAATAATTTATCCCCAAAATTCTTAGTTTTTTTTGAAACCATTAATTAATTAATTAAATGGGAAAAAAGTTGCCACTTTCGTGCTTCCTTTGCACATTTAATTTATTACCTGGTTTTGTTTTCTTCTAAGAAAATGAAAATTTTATTATTATATATTTTTCGCCTGATTGGCGACGTCCTCCTAAAAAAACCAAAATTCGAAAAGAAGAATAATTTTTATAAATATTTTATCATAATTTTCTTACATAGATTATTTATAAAATACTATGTATTTATTTTTAAAAAAAATTGAGAAATTGAAATAAAACATTTTCTTTATTGTTCAAATGTATGTTTTCTGTATTTTTTAACCTCATACTCATAGATTTTTTAAAATTGTTACTAAAAAACATGTTTTTCAATGACCTCCGGTGATGAATAAATGCTGCATTGCTAAAAAGCAATTAATCAAAATTTTAACGCAGATTCTTTCAATTACATATTCATACCAATCATTTGCCCCACTTCAACAAAATATGGAGATTTAGCTAAAAAGAAATTTAAAGACGTCGGCCACCAGATAAGGAAAAGTTTTGAGAAGCCCCGTGAAGGCTTTTCCTTATGGTAGAGGATCGTAATCGTCATTCTTAAAACTAATTATGCTTGTTTTATTAATTCGATCTCTCCTGTTAATTAGGGTTTTTTTCCTCATTAAGACGACTTCTCTTAAATTATACTTATTTTATTACTTCTGTGATACATAATTGATCGATATATATAATCAATTATTAAATTATATACTTGTTTGAAATTGTTTTTTTTAATTGAAAAATTATTTTTCTTTAAACATTTTATTTATTTTTTATTTTATAAATTTCCAATATAATTTATTATAATGTATTTTCGATAAACTTTTATTAAAAATAAATTTTCATTTTTAAATATATTTTATTCAAATTTTTATCAAATAAAAACTAGAGATTAAATATCTATTATTGTATAAATCAATTTTTATATTTATGGGGAAAATATACATATACTAGCTTATTACAACTCAAATTTTATTTATAAATTTAATAAATATATCTCCAAAAGAGGGCGTTATAAATATTATAATATCTTATTAGGAAACCCGAATGATTATTGATTAGCGCTTTTTTTATATTTAGGTTAAATACATAGGAAAACTTAAAAATTAAATAAAAATGTTGTTTCTTTGACATAATTTATAAGTTTCGAATCGAAAAATAACCACAAACTTGTAAGGCACACATTGCTATTGATCGAAATCTCTTCATTTTTGTTTTCAATGCTTAAACTTACGTGTAAAACATTAACCTAAAAAATATCGGAATTTGACCGATTGAACTGACTGATGTCTAAATTCTGCATCTGGTGATACCCATTGAAAATGTTCATTTTTTTGTTTTATATCGCGATAATTTTATGTAAAACACATTATCCCTAAAAATATTACTGCATTGCTGGCATTATCCATGGAAAAATAAATCATCATTTTTGTTTTATGTGCAGATATTAACCTTTTAAGCATTATTCTAAAAAGTATTGTGATTTGGACTGATTGTCGAACTCAAAATTTACTATTTACTAAATATTCAACTGACCGGAATAGCTAGTAAAATTCCATTGAGTATGTTCATTTTTGTTTTATTGCCGATATAATTACATGTAAAACATTATCCCTAAAAATGTTGTGATCCCGATAACCGATTTATAACAAGTCTAATGACTAAATACTTCATTGTTAGTATTATATATGATTCAAAACTTATTCATAAATTAGATATCAAAACCTATCATTTTTTAAGGGTTTTCACATGTATCTATACCCAATAAAGAAAGTGCTAACCAATATTCATTCGGGAATTTGTTTATTAAATTTCAAAATAGAAAATTAAAATTTGAATTGTAATAGCTAATAAATGTATATATTTTCTCATTAATTTTAAATAAAATTATATTTATATATAATAGATATTTAACTCTAGTGTTAATTTGATAAAAATTGAATAAAGGATTATATAATAAAATTTACATTAATATGATCAATTGCTTTATAGGTGACCTCCTATTTTATGATAAATTATATTTCTGCAAAGTTTTATATATTTTTAATAACCTTATAAATTATAAATAGTTTTTCGAACAAAATGCTAATTTTAATTTCTAAATTTAATATTTGAAAACTAGCATAATACTAATATTTATATATAACAGTCTAACCTGTCTAATTTGAGATCTTTGGAACCAAGAATTTTGCCCATCTTAGACAGTTGCTTAATTTATCAAGACTTTTAATTTTATATTTTGAAAATAGTTTACCATCTGTAATAAACTTAGTTTAGCAATAAGTGAGATTATTTCCAACCATTTCCAAATATTTTATTAATATATCATAATTTGGGGTAAAATTATGTATGTATACATAAACTTATGCGAAATAAGAAGGAATGAAATTATTATAAATGGTTGTATACAAAATAAGAAGGAAAATATAAAATAAAATAAGATGTTATCTTTTTTTATTTGGTTCAATATGTTTTATTTGCATGGATTTATGAATATTGTGAAGGTTTTAAAAATATAAAATCTTTTAGCACATTCTTTTTGAGTATAATATTTAGAAATTAAATAACTTACATTTTTTTTTAATTAACCGTTTTATTTATTTGTTTTGTTATTTGACCTGAATAGTTTTTAAAAGATGATCATTTTAATTTAAAATGAATGCAGCAACAACAAATACCCATTAGAGGTCTTACGCAAATGGTCAATAAAATTAAAAATTTGCCTTATTAGGTCAAGAGTTAAATAAAATTATTAAAGTTAATTCAACTCTTTGACACCCAATTTTTTAATAATTTTCTAAAAATTATATTCGTTAATGATTGTGAATATCATCATATAACAACATTTTTATTCTTTATATTATTACAATTACATTTTGATTATTCATATTATTATAAATTACATTTTAATTATCCATATTAAAATAAATTACATTTTTTCTTCCTTTTTAACAATAAAAAATGTTCCTTTTATATCTTTTTTAAAAAATCATAAAATAACCAATTATATAAAAAGAAAATGTTCGTTTAAAATTGAATTTAAATCAAAAAAATATATCAATTGTCAAAATAAATTGATTTTATAAAATAAAACGTTAATATAAACTAAAAATAATTTCGCCGATAGGTGTTAATGTTAAATAAAATAAAATTTTAAATCAACTTATTTAACAATATTCTCATAGATGCCCAAAAATTTTCTCAACTTTTATTTTTAAATATTCAGGTAAAAATGATGATGCAATTTGACATCATCAGACAGTATAATCCAAATAATTACAAATATTTATTTATTATGAAAATCTCTAAACTATTTTTGTATTTGTTAAAGCATAAATATATATTACATTTTGTTCTTGATAATGCATTTGTGCATAACTTGTATCTTTGCCCCGCGTCGCAGGCATCTGGCCAATCACCTATGCTGTCTTATCTGATATCAGATATAGACGCCATTATTGAAGAACTATTTTTTTAAATTATGTGTTCTTTCAAAGGTCTTCCTGCTTTTCTTTTACCGGCCTATAACAATACTTTAACACTATTTGTTTTAAATTGGACAAGCAAATTTATTCTTTTTGTCCTGGTATATTTGCGGCCTATACAAAAATCATGAATTCACCACACACATATCAATGAAATTAAAAATAAATCTCAAATAGAACCTTTTTCCTTTGATGTCTATTTGACAGTACTCAACAGCATATCATGTAAATTGACTCCTCCCTAACCTTCATTACATATTTTTATATATTTTATGCTACTTAGTGACCAATTTATTTATTCACTATCGGGTGAACACTGACAAAGGATTATATGACGTACGCAAACCTATCAAAGGATTATATGACGTGCACAAGCCTATTGTCATGCCATTTGACAATTATTATATTTTCTTTTTTATCAACTTTACATACATAGGTTACGGGACCTTCTTTTTTTAAGGCACTGCCACATTTTAACTTGCAATCTTTTATCCTCCTTCTAATAGTCCCTACTAAAAATATACCGATCTTTTTTAATATTTTAGCTAATGCTTTTGAAGAAAAGTAATTACCTCTGAATCAAATTATAATTTTACATAAATTATATTTTTTTAAATTGATTTTCTATCATTTATAGATGGCAAATAATTTAATACCAGCCGAGGGAGATATTTTAGATGAATCAGACAATGAAAAAGATATTTTACATACTCTTTACGATGATTCTCATTCAACTTGAACAACTCTAACATCTAATAATATTAAAATCGAGATAGAAGATCCAGAAAATAATGATAATATTTAAATAATTTAAAATAGAGAACAAGGTGATACCATCAATTGGGCCAAATTATAATAATACATTTTTCACTCCAATGAATATATTAACTCCATATCAATACTTTAAATTATTTATTTCAGATAATACACTAAATAATATGTATGAGAGTAATTTAATCGAATCTAGATATAAATAAAAACACTTTTTAATACATCTTTTTTTCATCTTTAGTTAATGTTCCTTCATACATACAATATTTGGCTTATATAATTAGTGTTTCCTTAGTTTACGGAGAATATGTAGAAATCTTTACATGACATGCTAGTTGAGTGCTATCGAGTAGACATTAAAGGAAAAAAGGTTTTACTTGAGAATTATTTTTCATCTCATTAATATGTGTGTGGTGAATTCTTGGTTTTTGTATAGGCGGTAAATATGTCAGGACAAAGAGAATAAATTTATGAAGCTTGTTCAATTTAAAACCCATATTGTTAAAGCATTGTTATATAATTAATAAAAGAAAAGCTCCGAGACCTTCGAATTAACCCATAATTTAAAAAAATAGATCTTTTATAATGCCGCCTATATTCGATATCAGATAAAACAACATAGGTCATCCGGATGCATGCGACGCGGGGCAAGATTCAAGTTATACATAAATACATAATCAAAAACAAAATGCAATGTAAATTTATTTTTTAACCAATATAGAAATAGTTTTAGAGATTTTCCTAAGAAATAAATATTTTTATTAAACTGTGACTGATGATGCTTTGCATCATTATTTTATTTTATATTTAAAAATAAAAGTTGAGAAAAATTTTGGGCATCTATGGAGTAGTTAAATAAAAAAAAATTCTAATTAAAAAGTTGGGCGTCAAAGGGTTAGCACAAAAATACTTTTTTATTTTTTTTAATAATAACCATTACATTTTTAATCTTTAATATTAAAATTTTCAATATCACTATTTATACTAATTATAAACAAATATTTACTATAAGAAAAAACATTTAATTAAGTATAATGCTAATTGACCAAGTTAAAGTATAAATTATAAATCAAAACCACAGACAATTTTTAAAAATTTAATTCTATTACAAGACTGCCAACGTATTAAGGTAGACAGTTGCCCAGTTTATTAAGGCATTTTCTAATAATATTATATCGGAATTTGATTGGGACTCAAAATTATGGTCAAATTGTAGGGTGACCCAAATTAGGCAGGTTGATTTGACTCTAATTATATAAAAATGATTGCATGTTTATTTAATATTTTTAGATACTTTTTTTTTCTCCCTTTGGTCTAGCTCACTGTTCATGGGGATCTTTATTGATTTAAGCTACCCTAGTCCTTATAAGTTAATCATGCGTCCTCTTTATATTTCTTAGTATCTTTTGTTCACAGTCTGCATCTAGGCACTTTCCCTTCCCAATATATGAATGACCTTGCCTATGACTACTCATCATTTTATTTCAGAATATTGCCTATAGAGAACTGCAAAATCGATTTTTTTTGGTCTAGGCCCTCTGAGATGAAATTAGGAAATATATTTACTAAAAATAATTAAATTTATATATTCAGGAATAACTGATATGCTGATATCTATTTTATTTTGTTACATTTGATTTGATATGAATATAGAATATTTATTTTTAATTTTAGAAAAAATCTTTTTATAATTGTAATATTTGTTCAGGTAAAAAAAGGAAGAATATTAAGTAAATGGAACATGTTAATATTTTTCAGCCACAGATGAGGTTTATATTTTATTGACGATGCTATGGGTCTTCAAACCTATCATATTTTGGTTAGGCCCTGCATATCTCTGTGTGCAGCAACTAATGGGTCTCACTAACCCGATATTTTTATTCATGATCATGAATCTCTGCTCATTTTTAACAACTTTTGTTTTTTTTCTTATAATAGTAATTTCTATCATCATTTTTTTCGATATGACTAAATAATATTCTGCAAAGACCTGCAGGCCTGGCTCAAATACACGGGCTGTGCCTTATTGTAATTTTTTAAAAATAACCGGGCTGGGCTGAATTTTTTTTATATTTTAAATCGCTAAGTTATAAAAATTAAAAATAAATATAATATATTTTAAAAAATTCGGGCCGGGCCTGAAAAACCGGACCGGACCTTGCATATGGTATCTCTCCAGGTTTCTTGATATTCTATATAGATAAATAAATTAGACTTAAATATTATTTGTTTATAGTTACCAAAGTATATGTATTCATATAAAAACTTTACAGGCACAAACTATAAAATTATTATCCAATTTATTAGGTAAGCCTATTTTATTTATTCAATGTTTACAAAATATCTAGACATATTTCTTAACTTATATATGTCACAATTCATTGGCAATTGAAAATTACAAATAAATAAAGTTTTCCTTTAAAATATTAACATTTTACCTCTCAATAGATCAGATCGAACAAGAACCCTGATTGCAAATTGCTGTCACTGGCAATATTGCGTTTTTTATTTTTTAGTTAATGCCAAGTGTAACGCCTCATTTATAGCACTCGCTATTTGCTCAAGCGATGCTTAATTATTCGCAGCATAATTTACAAAAGTTTATTAAAATAAAATTTTATTTTAAAAAAAACAAGGTTTTTATTGCATCTAAAACATTTTACCAATGAAATTTTTTTTTAAAAACGGTTATCAAGTTATGACGTGACATCTTTCTACATCTTAATGCATTTGTAATAAAATATATACAAAAGTCAAGTTTAGAACCTAGAAACCAAAAATATTTTCGATGTTTTTGTTTAATTTGAAAGACGATTTAAAATATTCAAAATATATAACAATTTTCATTTTTTTGAGCGAACCTTATCCTTATTTAATTGCCCCTTTTCTTTTTCAATTCGACATTTTTCTTATAATAGGACCTTTTTCCTTATGTAATTCGCTCTTTTCTATTTTCGATAGCCTCTTCTTAAGCATTTAATACTTTCCTTTTCCTTATTTAATTGGCCCTTTTCTTTATTTATCGGGAATTATTCTTAAGAGGCTTCAGTACCTTTCCTTTTTTTCATCGAACTTTTTTTGTTTGAGAAACCCTGTATCTTTTTTATCAAAATGCATATTGATAAGTTTATTCTAGGTTGATTTTCATTCTTTTTTAATAATATATATTTAGAAAAATACATAAATAATCTATTCACAAAATTCACTTTTTTTTATTGCAACAGAACACTGGAATATTGAAAATTGGAACACACGTTGGACCTTTAAGGAAAGGCTACATTTATTCCGGAGGTTTAATTACGTTATTTTACACCCCAATTTTACATAAAGATAAGGAAGAAAGTATGGTTTAAAATTGAAACTGAATGAAACGAATGGAAAGAAATAAGGAAATTAGAATAAAAGAAACAAAAGAGGTAGAAAGTAAATCAATATTTTAAAAAAAACAAGGAGTTAGGTTGTCAATGCATTATAAGTGGTAAGTGTTTAAAAATAATTATAATACCCTTGTCTGTTTTGTACAACTTGAATTTATCTAAACTAAATAGGCGCTAAAGCCAGAGAAGGATTACACATAGTAGCCTGCAAGTCGGCCTAAAGTTTGGCTTGGGCTTAAAATAAAAATTTTAGCCGAGCTCGGTCTAAAAATTACTAATATGCCGAAAAAATTGAATTTGCAAGACTTTAAGGATTAGTTAGTATGATATGAATTGGGTTAGTTTAAATGTATAAATTCATATAAGCGAAAAACTGGAAATAAGTTTTATGTCTTATATATTTTAGAAATCTTAAAGATAAGATTGTTAATGACATTGATAGATGCTAGGTATGGTAATACTTTTTTCAATTGAAATCTTCCCAATTTGGAGATTTTTATAGGGAATGTTTATTTAGGAATATCTATGAGACTCCATTTAATCGATTTCTATAAAAACTCAAAATGTAAGTATTTTACTAGTCTATTAAACAGCATTTAGCCAATTTTTTTTAAATTTTAGCCAAAATAATATTACGCAAGCGTTAAAATTTTGTTATATATGTCTAAAGCTTTTATTATCTATTAGAAAAATCTCCAGACTTACATAATATTTTTTTAACAAAAATATTAGGTTAGCATCTACATATTATTTTCGAGATTTCTAGAATTGTAAGAAATATTCTCACTTTTACGTTTTCCACGATTTCCTTCCTAAATTGTTAAATTGGACCTTACATTAATTGTAATTTTTTAATCCTAAAAATACGGCCAACAATCTTTTAATTGACAAAATACTACCTTCATTCCTATGTTATTCTTCAGGAAAATTTAAATATAAATGCTATATTTTTACACAGGTCTTTCTTTTGATTATATCCTATTTCAATTTAAGAGATTTTTTTTAAAAACAGACCTTTTATAGATTAGCTAAAGCCAGATAATAAATTATGGGAATTAGATAGTATAAAAAGTTAATGGAAAATGCAAGTTAAATAATTTAACTGACTCATGATAATCATTACAATTTTTTTATGATCTCTGAGTTAATCGATAAATTAATCATTCTAATGTAAGGATCGGTAGAGACCGTAAGTCAGCTAATGGGCGTAAAGGGGAAGGAGATTCTCTACGTAGGAGACCACATTTTCGGCGACATCTTGAAATCGAAAAAGAACTGTGGATGGAAAACGTTTCTTGTTGTTCCTGAACTCAGCAAAGAACTAGCGGTGTGGACTCAACGTTCGGACCTTTTTGATAAGCTCAACTTCACTATTGGTCAGTTGGCCGGAATATTCAAGTAATTTAAAGATAAAAAATACAAAAGAATAGTAGAAGAAAAAATATAATAAAATAGTATTAGAGTATGAATACTAAAAGAATTCTAGAAATTAGGGAATGGATTAGAATAACTTTCCTCCAAATTGGGAGAAAAATGAATATTTTAAATAGAGAAAAATAGAATAATTCAGCTAAGCTGGTCATATAAAATGTAGGGAAAGATAAAGACTATTGTTAAAAAATAGAGAATCTTTTATTAATATATTTTTTTTTAAATATATTTCAGAAATATGGATATGAGATCCCATGAAAGACCTGACATCAGAAACCTTCAGCACAGAATTCAAGTTTCTTAATATTATTTAAAACATATATTTATTGGATCATCCATCTACACCCACGTTTAAATTAGTTTTCCATACCGAGATTTTTATACCAACTCATAATTAAATTAAAAAGTAAATTATATTATAAAAAAAATATTTTTTAAAAAATGTGTGACTGCGCTGTGTGTGACAGACTTATTTGGATATCTAATAAATTAAACGTTTTACCAATCAACAAATTAAAATTTGGTACAAAAATCTAATTTATTGTAAGATTTATATCTAATTTTTATTTATCGAAATTTAAAATTTCCAATTTTATTGACAAGAATTTATTATTTTTTAAAAAATATAATAAAATGAATAATGGATATTATAGGAAACGGTCCACGAAATGGATACGGCTTACGGACTCTTGGGAAGTGTTTTTAGAAGCGGTAATATAATAATCAATTATTCAAACATGATAACCGAATGCCTTTACTAGATACCTACTGAACTGATTTATTTTAAAATCCGGTCTCATATCAGATTTTGTATTTTAAAGACTAATATAAGTGGTAATTATTGCTTTCGTCTTCTTAGGATCCTTTTCTAGGCTTACCTGGGTAAGCTTTTTCCCTTCTAATCCCGCTTCTCCATTTTCCATGGTGAGGGGCACCGCCACTGGTTAAACCTAGCCGCTGCAATCAGCTTGTTTTTGATCGTCGTTTGGATTTTGTTCTTATACTTCTCACCAACATATCAATTCAATCGTCCTTTGCATTTAACACCCAAACCATCTTAGTATGATGTCACGACATCACCTATTCCCTTAATACCAATCCTCTCATTTGCATGTTCATCTCTCTGTGAGATATCCCACATCTCTAACCATTCTAATCCGTTCTTTCTAACTTGCTCACGTCTTATTGCCATACATCATACAATTTCTCACAAAGCTTGCATTATCTTCCAGTCATTTCTTATTTTTGTCACTATTGCCAAGTCAACGCCTCTATTGGCGTTAAGTTTATTACATGGTAAAACTTCTTAATTTTTTGCAAACTTGTTTCATTTTCGTTATAAAATTCATTATTATTAGTAATGTTGTTAAACGTATCTTTTTGAGCCGATTTTTGAAAACGGCTAACTCAATATTCCATCCATAAAAATATTACGCAAGCCTAAAGATTTTGCTCATAGAAGGAACAAAGGTCTAGACATAATATTAACAAAATCTCGAGGCTTAGGCATAATTTTTCTGGCTATAATTGAGCTAGCCGTTTTAAAAATAGGCTCAAAATGAGCCGTTTAACAACACTAATTATTAGCATCATCTTGCACACTCTTTCACACACTTTTTACAAACAAATCTCACGTTTGCATTTATACTTATTGTGAACCCATTTTCGACAGCAAATACGATGAAGTTTCTAGTTACACCTTTCTCATATACACCAGATGTCCACATCCTTGTCTCCCTCTGAACCTATCCCATCATACAACACCTTTGTCCTTCCTTTATTAAAGGCTTAAGATGGATTCCGGATATAGCCCTACCTTTACCTTAAACAATCCCCTTGTTCGAACCATCGTATATCACCATTATGGCAGTTATTAACCATTTGTCCACGTCTGATTTATTAAGTGCTCCCTTTGTGGCCTTTCGCGGCACAATTGAACTGCATGTCATTCAATTCCATTTGGTCTCTAATTCTCTTCTCTAATGCTCGAAAACTTTCATTGCCTGTTACAAAAATTTATTGTTCTACATTGATCCACAGTCTAGAGGATTACTCTTTCCTTTATATATTATCACTCTTTTCCACCAGTTTTTATTGATGGAGAAAAGGGAAGTGTTGGAATTTATTAATGTAAATTTTGCTCATAACACATTTTTTTACTTCATATAGTAGCAGACTAATGGATTATAATATAAACTGTATAAGAATGATAAATGCTCGAGCAGAAAATATTTACTTCTAATATCAATATCATGAGCATACACCTCTCATCTTGTTCACAACAATACAACCAATTTATATTCAATGAAAGAATGTCCATGAATGTTTGAATGTCTAATATTTGTATTGTTAAATTTATTGTATTTTCAAATTATATTTAAATGATCGTGAAAATAAAAAATTTGCAATAATTATTATTATGGCAATAAAATATTTTTAAAAAAACATCCCTAAAAACGATTATATTTCACCCCATCCTCCAACTTCTTTGCAAGTTCTTGCTTTAGGTTTTCCAATCTTTATCTTCCCATATCACTTTTTGCTATATTTTTTCCATTCTTTATAACATCTCTTTTCCTTATCAATTTTGGCTACGTCAAGATTTCACCACCCATCTTTTTATATCGTAATCGTCCTTTTTGTCTAACCACAGCATTGGGACAAATTATTTTCTTGAACTCTCTTTATATCTTTCTTAAAGAAAGTGTTACATACCACCATTCCTTGCGTCACCAAACTCTAAATTCTCTCACCTTCAGAATCAAAACTAAATCCTTTGTGGACTCGGTTTCCCCACAGAGTTTCAGGCCCTTTGAACATCAGGTGTTTCTTTTTCACGTATTGTAGGCCTACTGGACATCATTTTTTTTATCGTTGACAGAGAAGTTCCCCCTCAGGATATTTCGGGCTGTATCCCTCCCATATTTCGTTTTACTGTTATTAGAAGGTTATGGAGCAAAGTTTTTGCTATCGGGATCCACTTGACATCAACCTCGTTTTATAACAAGCGGAGGAGATGAAGATTTTATTTTATCACTGAAAACCTTTTAAACCTCCATTGGCCGTCTCGCCTTGAGGCAGAAGGTAGGATTTTAGGAGACAACTATTGCCATCTATATATAATAGTTTGTATACTTAATGATTAAACGTTTTTATTATTATCTTTATAATAAGGTTCCCGCCAAACATTTTTCGCAAGTCAGGTGATGAGATACGCTGATTTGTACGCTGCCACTCCCATCAATCTTCTTTACTACCCACTATACTACATGTTCAGGGCTCCTGATATGCTCGTTTATAAACATTTCTTTATATATATATTTTTTTTAGAAATATTTATTTCTCACTTTTTTTGTTCTCTTTCATTTTAAATCTAAATAATATATTTTATTCATTTTTCTCAACTCTTGTACATCGATTAAGATGCCCCACGAACTAACTGTCGAACACCAGGAGAGTAAACTAGGACGCATATCACCAACAGCCATCAATGGCGACGTCAAAGGTAAGCAAGATACAATAAATGCAGGAATTAGGGTTGATATAAAAGAATAAAATAGAAATAAATTGAGGGGAAGAAAAGTAATAAAAATTCGATAGATGAAGGAAGAGAAGAAAGAAATAATTATTTATTAAAATTTAAGGTTAGTATATAGATATTCAATTAAGAAAAAAATATCGATTTTTTTAAAATATATATAATATCCCCTTTAAATTGTATTATATTTTTTATTATATATTAACCCTACACCATATCCTTCTAACATCTTTCTAATCTTTAACTACCTTCTTAAGCTTTCAGAAAAAAATGGCTCCCGCTGCTGTTAGTTTTAGAAAAAAAGGTATTGTTCCAAAATGGGAATTAAACAAGTGGCTTGGTATCTCAGAGATATACATATGTTTGGGCATAAAAGGTCACTGGTTCAATTCCTAGTTTTGAACATTTTTTTCTATAACCACAATAGAAAGGGAAAATAGTTTAATAAAAATTTTATTTTTACAATTTGGCGTGCGAAAATTTATATATTTTTTTCCAAAAAATTAGATAAAAATAAATTTAAATAATTCTTCTTGAAGCCCTAATTTATGTCAATGTCATTCATCATTAAACTGCAAATTTTATGGGGATTCTGAAATATATCTATATTTTTTAATAAATCAAGTTTTTATAAATAAAATATTTTTCAAATATATATAAAAAAATGTCTCAATATCTCCCACTTAGCAAATTGATTAACTTTCTCTCATCTCTCCGCCAACTCTTCTGAGTGATATATACCTTTAAACGCTTGAATGTATTCATGAGTTCAAAAATTTTATAACTAATTTATCGCTAATGTAAAAATAGAAAAGTTTTTCTCGCGAGAAAGCATAATTTTACCTAAAAATTCTTTCCTTTATTAATAATCCATGAATATACTACAAATTAAAGGTTTTGGTAATCTGTTTACACCACCTCCGCGTATCAGTAGCACTGTCGATGCTTCGCCACCCACCCGGAGAGCCATGTCCCTCCAGCCCCTACCCTTGGCGCCACCCTCGTCCAAATTCCATGGGTTCCATGATGAAGATATTAGCGAAGAAGAAGATGTGGGTAGTTTGAGCAGCGCCCATAGCTCCAATAGTTCCTCTAGTAGAAGGAGTTCTTGCGACATTTGCTTAGACAGAAAGCGGGCGTTTACATATAAAGTTTATTTTTATATATTTATTATATCTCTAGAGTAATTCATTTCTTTTTTGTTGTAATTCTTTTCTGATTTATTTTTCCATTTTCTACTCCTAAATTTTTTTTAGGTTGCCGAGTTGGCTAAAACAAATCCTGTTGCAGCGCAAGAATTACTTGCATCAGATCAACTAAGATATACTCGTCAAAAATGTCTCGTCGATCAACCTAATGCCATCCATCACCATTTCATAAATGTGAGCGGTACCAATCAAGATAATTCTAAGCCCGGGGATCTATCTAGTAAATCAGGCGCAGGGACCGAAACTGGGAATATAGAGATAGAGGGAGGTGATATTCCGGATGCCGAAAAGGGCATAGGAATTAGGAGAGGGTCCGCCATTTATAATGATTAAAGAAATTGTTTTTAAATTTTCGCTCATTGATATAAATAATATTTAGTGAATTTTTTTAAAAAAATTATATTTTCTAATATCATGATCTTGGCGAAGGGTTTTTAATTATGGAAATTTTAATTATTCAGAGGAGAAATGGTTTCAGATGTTTTCACAAAATTGTGGATAATACTATTGCAGTTTATACTGATAAATCTAAAAACAAACGCTTATATATCATACTGAAAAATTTTTTAAAAATTTTATTGTCGTTTTTAGAGATTATATTGGAAATTTTTTTCAAAAAAATGCATGAAATATGAATAGCACTAAATACATTTAATAACGATAAAATTATTATTTCATTTATTGGCTCCAACTGTTTAAAAAGAAATTTATTTAAGAATAATTTAACTCTGGGAATTTAGATGGCGCTATTAACCCAAAAATAAAAATTCTTTTATTTTTTTAGATGAAATTTTTATAACTTATGTAGTATGAGTCTCTTTAGATTATTTTATTTTTTATAATATTGTGGAATATAAAATAGCACAATTATTCTGAAAATATTTTTTTTTTAAAAAAGAATACATTTAATATATTTTAAGTAGTGTTTGGTATTATATTAATATATATATTTTAAAGTATTGTATAATTATTTTTTTAAATTGGTAACATTTTTTATTTCTCACCATGCTTATAACTGTCTATTGAAAAATTTAAACATTTCAAATAAATAATTTTTTAGCATTTAATTTTTATTTAGGTACAACTTTAGAAAATTTGTATATACTAGGATCCCTTAACATTTATAATTTATTATTAAAATAATGAAGATAATTCAAAACAGTGGTTTTCTAAATGATTGCTATTCCCTTCATCTTCATTATTGAAGATTTTTAATAATGATTGTATTATTATTTTCGTTTATATAAGTTCGAATACTATATTGTAATATTTTATTGTGTTTATAATCAATTTATATTTAACGCGAAATTAATAATCCATATTAAATTTTAGAATTTTTTCCAATTATATTTTTTTTCAATCTTATTTCTAAAATCACATATTTCATTATAAGCATCTCAATGTCTAGCGAATTTGGTTGTTAAATCTAATTAATTGTTTCAAACTCAAAGATTATAAACTCAATTTTAAAAAAGGTTCTTCATAATACTTAGATATACTCAAGTTACATGTAATTAATAAAAATTTGATATCTAAACAATATTGTTTTTCATTTCATGCATATATATTTTTTAACATGAACACCGAGCTCATTAAGAAAATTTAAATTAACCCATCATTACTCACGTGATGATATTAATTTTTTTATCCATCATAGATCAAACTTTAATATTTATAAAACATCTTTTTATTTTAATTTTTAATGCTTATATAAAATATATTGATGTTTATTGAAACTTATGCCAAAATTTTCTAAAAAAAGTTAAAATTTTTTAACTATTAATATTTAGTACAAAAAATATTATTTAATATTATAACCTAGACGTTTCATAAAGGTTTATTTAAAATAAAATGGTAATTAAAAATAAAATTGCCACTCTTGTGGGATCTGACAGACCTAAATCCTTTACATAAATAATTTATATTTTAAAAACTACTAAACAAACATTAATAAAATTTTGGACATATATTCTAATATAAAATGAATAACCCAATTGAAGATTTGAGTTCATAATAAATAAGCATTTTTAAGTAATATAAATTTTAACACACCGGAAATCTTATAGACCCCACAAGAGTACAGTAGGGTTGAATTTCAAATAGTAGTTAGTAAAATATGGGTATATTTTTGATTTTATACTTGTAAATGTGTATTTGGTGTCGTGATTTAAAGAAACTAAATAAAAGGGTTAGGCAACTCAACTAATTACTACCTTTTATGAGCCATAATAAAAATTAAAAAGTATGATAATCTAAAATTAGAGATTAAAAATCATATATGAAATATATAAAATTAAAAATAAGAGTAAAGATAAATTGTGGAGAGGAAGTGAGGAAAAAAGATAAATTTAAATGGAATATGCTTTGGAAATGAAATTTCGGATATATGTAATGAATTAATTTAAATAAAAAGATATTAATAGAATTAAATTAGAGGAATGAAATTTATAAAATAATTGATTTTTTTTGGAATTAGAAATTTATATGAATTAATGATGGAAAATGAAAAGAATTAATATTGATTAAGATGAAAGAACTTATAAAAATAATATGTTAAAATGAAAATATTCTCAAACATGAGAAGCATAATAAGAGGGTTGAGCTGAAGCACATAGCAAGAATGACTAAAGTTAAGAGGAAGTCATGGGTTAAATTAAAATTTTGAATATATAAATGAGTATATATGGTAATATTTTATATATGTTAATAGTTTATAAAGTTAAAAGAATTAAATTTTAAATACATAAATTTATTATAAGTAAAGTTAATTTTGAAATGTAAAGAAAAGTTGGTCCCATTTAAAAAGAGAGAAGAGGGATGAAATTGTGTTTGTTTTAAAAAAAAAATTTTATAAAAGTTTACAATAGTTAAATATTGTACAAATAAAAGATAAGATAGAAAGTAAGTATTTAATGGCTTCAATTGTCTTAATTGAGCAAACTTAAATAAGTAATAAAAAGTAAAACATGTGTTTATATTAGAGGTTGGTGATATATAAATGGAGGAACCATTATATATTAAGGTGATATAGGTTTACCTTTAAAAGTTTTTATAAATAGAGGAAGCATATATTGTGATAAAAGTGTACTTTTGAAAAAATTTTTGGAAACGATTGGATATGGTGAGGGTAATAATTTCTGTATTAAATGTTTTGATTTTAACTTTTAAACCTAGTGTCTTATGTTAATAAGTTTTAGAGTTTATTTTTTTTAAGGTTATTTTAGAGGTTAGTGATATATAAATGGAGGAACTTTTAATATATTACTGAGATAAAAGTGTACTTTTGGAAAAAAAATGGGGACCATTGGATATTGGGGGGGGGGGGGGTAATAGTTTTTGTATTATATGTTTTGATTTTAACTTTTAAACCATTAAGTTTTATTTTGAGTCTTATGATTCATTGAATGGCGTATAGGTATCCATCACCGGAAATAAAGACATCGCGTAATGAAGGACTTTTTTTGAAATATAATGTGAAGAAAAAAAGGAATATTAGCATATGAAATGTTTGAATAATGTTGTATATAAAAAAAAGGAGTGATAAATAAAATAAAAATTATGTGATGAAATAAAAGTACACAAATCCAAAATTTGAAAGTTAGAATTAAAAATAAGTAAAGTTAGATATTAAACATGTGCTAAAGATGGATTGAAAGTCAAGAATGGGTCATAAATAGTTCAAGTTTTTAAAGAGAAGAATAATATTAAAAGTCTATATATATACTAAGGGTAAAATAACAATTTTGAATTTATATGTATAAATATGAATTTATATATGTAAAGGATAATGATGAAGGGAGCCATTAGGTAATATTAGAATATTTTTTTATTTTTAAATTTTGAAGTTTATATAAATAAAGCAATTTGATTCATGTGAATATTGGGATCAGAAATTTTGTGTTTAATATCTGAAATTTAGAATTATGATTGTTAGGGAAGAAGTGTGTCTGGGATAATGTTAAAAGGAAAGAATAAAGAATACATTTTGAATATAATTTTTTAAAAAATATTTAACTGACTTACTTTTTGAAATATTCTATCCAATCAACTACAATGATATTTTCCAATCAACTACTATGATGCTGGATTAGTGATACCAAGCCTAAGATAGAAAGATCATGACTATGGATCAACCAAGCTATGACACAAATACTGACAATCAACAATACAATATAATCAACAACACAATGACAATTATATATGGTCAAGAAAAAAAATATAAAACTTCCTGGAACAGGAAAAAATTTTAAGAAAATAAATAATAATAATTTTTATCCAAATTTATGTAGACATTTACTTAGATTATATTTATAAAGTAAATTGTATTCTTTACCATAGTTTGATTTCTCAAGAAAGGGGGCGTGTTGTATCTGTCGATTTATAATTGACATTAAGGAAGTTTTTCAATATATTTTTCGAGTTATAAATTTTTCTTTGTTTTTAATCTTCTTTGTTTTTAAAACAGGCTGTATATTTGGATATATTATAATCATGGAATGTAATATTAATATTTATTAAAATTTATATGAAATAAAATGATGAAATGTAAAAAAAAATTTTAAGTAACTAGCTGCTAAGGGTCAGTGTTAACTTTTTTTAGTCACAATAATATAAATTGGAAAGCATTTACAAAATATTCAATTTAAACTTAATGTCTAGAACACATCCTTATTAATACCATTAAAATTTTAAAATTAAATATTTTTTAATCATTATACACTATATTTGAAATAGGAATTAATCAAATAATCAAATATGACATTTATTATTTTTAATTTATCAATGCTAGAATTTTTAAAAAGATAAGATTATATATTTTTAAGCTATAAAAATATCAATTTTGTTAATTAAATCATAATTAATATGATAAAGGTGCAATAAATGCAATATTCTTCTTTACTTAGTTTTTTTTTAAATTGCTATACCTCCTGATATGGCTGGGAAAAGTGATATTCAAATGATACTATTTATTTTTTTTAAATTTAATTACATTTTTTTATATAGATAAAAATATACATAACAAAAACAAAATTGGTATTGTTTTTCCGCATCCAAAACGATACTTTTTTTAAGTAGCGCTCTAATTTGCTATTATATTTAAAAATTTTATTTAAAAAAATGCGTAATATATTTTTATAAAAATCTGTGTTTCAAACATAAACAAAATATATCAAATTGTTCAGAATAGTCACTTGACTTGTATAGAATAATAAAAAAACGTTTTATTTATTACTACATTTAGCAAAGTCATTTCAATATATTAATCAAGTCTTTTGAACTAAATATAAGTTTTATTTGATTAAATAACCGCTCAACATGAACACTTGAGAGTTGTGGTGCTGATATGCTTAATTTAATAAATATAATTCTAAAATGGGCAAAATCGTCGGATATGTCTATGATATCATCTTTGAAGAAAAAAAACCTGGAGGATTTTTTTTAAAGAATTTGAATCTTTATTATATATGGTGACAACAAATCAATTTTTCTTGCGAA